TTTAGCATTGGAATGTTGATGGTGGTGCCACATGTCCCTATGTGGATCCCAAAGGGTATCATAATACAAGGGGGCAGGTGCTAGCAAGTTCAAGGACAGATAGATGTAAAAAAGACTGTGGATTTTGCAGCAGGCATTATGGACTGGAGTCATCAGACCTAGGTTTTAATCTGTCTCAAATCTAACTACTGTGATGCTGGGAGGCCATTTAATGTTGGTGGGTTTAGTTGACTAATTTCTCAAATCAGGACCTTCAAGTGGACTTAGAATGGAAGATTCATTCCAGCTCTGACATTCTGCAGCTCTAAGGATCTTCTTTAATGAAATTGGAAGAAAAGCCAGAACAGCCCTAGCCAGCATGGCTCAGTGGATAGAGCGTCAGCCTTCGGATTCTGGTCACAGGCACGTACCTTGGTTGCAGGTTCCTGCCCAGCCTGGGCCATGGTTGGGATGTGTGCAGGAGGCAACCAATCGATGTGTTTCTCTCAAGTTGATATTTCTCTCTGTCTTTCCCTCTCTCTTCCACTCTCTCTAAAAATCAATGGAAAAATATCCTCAGGTGAGGATTTAAAAAAAAAAAAGAGCCAGAGCATATTACATTTTACTTACATGCAATGAATAAGGCTGTAAATTCTAAACAGTACTTCATTTTGTAATTTGCTTTTTAATAAATAATTTTAGATTTAGATTTATATAATACCTTTCAGTCTTTAAAACATCCTATTCCAATTAGAATCTAAATTTTATAGCTATGTAAAGAGATGCATAGATACATGAAATAATGTGGTGGATGTTATAGAGCAAGATTATTAACATGAGAATATTCATAGATTTTTCTGCTCACCTATTTTACAAAAGAGATCCATAATGAAATTATCGGCTCCATTTCCCCTTTCTTAACAACTTAAAGAGGAAGATGTTCTTGCTGGAAGAGATACTAAGGGGTTATTTATAGCAGGCTGAGAAGAAATTTGCTCGGTGGGAGGGGAGTTGGAGGTGCTTAACTAAACTGCACTGTATGAGGGAAGTAACTAGAAAATTGAAATATCCTGTTAGTACGTTTGTTGTGGACTAATTACGGATCTCTCAAACACATAAAGGTAAGTTTTACTTTTTAAATTTCATGGTTGCTGTTATGTTTTTTTTGAATGCACCACAAGTCTAACATCAAATTATATGATGACAAGATTTTTGAGGATGATCATGCTAAATGACAATTACAGATCCAGTTCCAAGTAGCTTCTAAGATCTTTTCAGTCTCAAACAGGACCCCTTCTGTCCATGCTTTTCTTTTCTCCCTAACCTTCCTACCACCCTCTGTCAAACACTTATTAAAATCATTTAGGTGCTAGATATGCAAGGAGTGACTTTGATATGGGCCTTTCCCTTGAGGAGACCCCCAGGGTTCCAGGCTTACCTGCTGCCACTGTGGGCGGACACCAGGGCTATCTCTGGCCTGTGGGCTTGGAAGAACTGAATTGAGACTATACCCAGCTACAAGTTAGCTGGTACCATTATTCCCCATCTCTTCTAACCCACCTATTTCAGATTCATTCTCTCTTTGTTAAAATTTACTTTTTATCATATGAGAGGATGAGAAAGCATAATCACAAAACACCAAGTCCCTAAGTAAAAACCTCTTCAGTTAAAGCATAGTAAAGGAAGGTACATGAAATGTTCTTGGAAAACTAGAATGAGCTGTGAGGACTTCCATCCAGTTATATCTCTTTTCGTAGGAGTGACATTTGAAAAGAAAGACTATGATTAATTCCTTCTTTCAATCAATATTTTTGGAAAACCTCTAGGTGTAAAGGTCATATTTTAAGGTCATTCAAACACAAATCAATACTTCAATGTTTCATTCTTTTCTTTATATTTATGTTTCAGTATTTTTATTTATAAAAATCTAACTGTATCAATTAATTATGTTAATTCCAAATTAACAACAATAAAAAAAAATGACTTCAGGGCTTAGCAGGTGAGAGGTGTCTTTTTCTTGTGTGATAGGATGGCTGGAGTTAGGTAGCCCAGGCTGGAGCAGCTTCTCAAGGATGTCCAGGAATCAGACTCAAGTTGTCTACCTGCTCTGCCATTCATAGTCATGTCCAAATGACCACAGCACGGCTGCTGTGCATTCAGGAAAGAAGAAAGAAGGAAAATTGGCTTTTGTTTTTGACCCAGGCTTTATTCCAGAAGGGACAGCCTCCATAGAGACTTGTGTCTATATTTCATTGACCAAAACAGTATCATATGGCCTCCCCTGCAAGGGAGTCTGGGGAGGTGACTACTTTACTTTCCAACCTCTGTAATAGAGGCAAGCAAAGGCAATGGGGTGTAAGATGGGTGTCAAGTGGGCTAACCTATGATGCCTGACATAGTGCTCATCTGCCTGCCTGATCGCCCCTAACCGCCTCGACCTCGGCCCCTGCCCCCATCCCTGTGGGATCAGGCCTAAACCGGCAGTTGGACATCCCCCAAGGGGTTCCGGATTGCCAGAGGGTGCAGGCTGGGCTGAGGGACACTCCACCCCTGTGCATGAATTTTGTGCACCAGGCCTCTAGTTGTTAATAATTGTAGACACTGTTCTGGGTCACCTTGAGTGAACATTTCCCTTTTTATCTCCAGCCATTCTGTTGTCCTCACATTTATCTCTTTGTATCTGAGAGTAGAAGCTGTACCTGAATTACAAACAGTAGGGAATTGCCAATTCACCAGCTGGCTATGTATTCTTCTTCCTTAATCTACTGCAAATTTTGTCCAAGTGCTGATTTATTGCATTGAGTAATTGCATCCAGACAGCTATATGCCAATCATGTGTATCCTGATTACTCATTATGAGCCTTAGGATACCATACAACTCACTAATGAGCACATTATAATGCTGGCCAGTGCCAATTAGATGATAATCATGTGCACTGCTTTATTTACAGTCCATCCGTTTAAATTAATTGGGCATTTAATTGAACACAGTGTGAAAGAAATTGGAATTGCATTTCTCAGTTTAACTTACTTTCATCTGTCATCACTTACATAGCAGGTGAGATTATTCACTTGATCTGGAAATTTAAAACAAATACAAATGGACATAATGCTTATTTTATAATGGCACACATATGTAAATTAATCTCAAAATGTGTTAGAAAGCAGCAATAAAATTTGCAAATTTTTAATCTCCACTAACAGCCTTATATGACCTGATTACAGAGAGAATCTACATGCGTAAGAGAATCTAGCTCTCAGTTGGAAATATGAGGTGGGATCTTAAACCAACCTTATGATAATGTCCTGATATTTTCTTAGGATAGGACATTTACATTTAATTCATGAATAAATACTTGGCAAATCATATTTAATTATGATCCTATGTATTTTTCTCTTTCAGGACATAGTATCAAAACATTTCAGGATCTACATTTTTCAGTGAGTGTTTAATTTCCAAACATTGCATGCATGAATATACCACTAAATTCAAAGTGTCTATTCATTGAAATAATTTCCTAAAAGCACATGTAGAATAGACATAGAGTAACTACATGAAAAATAGTTTCTAGACAAAAAAATCTAGAGGCCAACTCTTCTACTTTTTTTTCATAGTTACATTTCTGGTTTATGGATATCTGCCTCCATATAGTTTTGAGAAGCATTAAATGACTGAGGGTCTCTTCCCAAAATAAGTAGGAAGATGTGCTGCTCCAACTATTCATAAGAATTCTTCATAGGAAAAAAAATCATAAATTATTCTGATAAGTTAACTGGAACTAAACATATTTTGGAAAGAAGACCTTGATGGAATTAATAATATGCCAATCAAAGTTATATTGTGTTACACTAAGCAACCTTAGTTCTTTCCCTTTTTGCAACTCAATTCAACAGGTGACACAAATAAAATGAATGATGTAAAGAATTTTAAAAATATATTTTTTATTTTTAAAAAAGTTTTTTTTTTATTGATTTTATAGAGGAAGGGAGAGGGAGAGAGAGATAGAAACACCAATGATGAGAGAGAATCATTGATTGGCTGCCTCTTGCACGGCCCCTATTGGGGATGGAGCCTGCACCTGGGACATGTGTCCTTGACCGGAATGGAACCTGGGACCCTTCAGTCTGCAGACTGACGCTCTAGCCATTGAGCCAAACCAGTTAGGCCTGGGCTCATGTTTTTATAGGACTTGAATCATAAAGAAATAACTGAGGCTCAGATCAGGAAATACATGAACCTGGATTCTCTAACCCTGTCTGTCTGATAGAGTAGTCTCTAGTCACATGCTGCTACTGGGAACTTGACATGTGGCTAGTCAGAACTGAAATATGCAGTAAGTGTAAATACACATCAGTGTTTGGAAATTTAATATGATAAAATAACAAAATATTAATAATTTTTATATGTATTACATGTTGTGATAATATATTGGATATATCAGCTTAAATAAAAACATTATTAACATTAATTTCACCTTTTTGCTTTCCTTTCTTTAATGTAACTAGAAATTTTTAAATTACATATGTGGCTTGCATTAGTGACTCATTATATTTCCATTGAAAGGCACTGCTCTATCTTAATGGGAAGAATGAACATTTCCCACTTTTATTGTCTTGGGGCTAACAAATTATGGGCTCAAAATGAAAAAAACAACAACACAACAACACACACACACACACACACACACACACACACACACACACAAACCTCTTCTGCCCTTAAGGAATTCAAATTCTCATTTACTCCAAGACTTCTCACTGATTCCCATGGAGCAAGGGGACTGGCTCCTGCATGGAGTAAGCATCAGGTGATGCCTAAAAAGCTGCTAGACATTGGCTTTTCACTCACATTGGACCTACCTTATTTCATTTTTCTAGATATAGGCATTTAGAACTAAATTATTATTATTTTTTTAAAATATATTTTATTGAGTTTTTACAGAGAGGAAGGGAGAGGGATAGAGAGTTAGAAACATCGATGAGAGAGAAACACCGATCAGCTGCCTCCTGCACACCTCCCACTGGGGATGTGCCTGCAACCAAGGTACATGCCCTTGACCGGAATCGAACCTGGGACCCTTCAGTCCACAGGCCGATGCTCTATCCACTGAGCCAAACCAGCCAGGGCTAGAACTAAATTATTATCAAAGGTCATTAGAAGTTAGCTTGGATCCCAATGTATGGCAATGTGTGTGAAAGTAAAATAATCATCATATCTTCTTAAAGGAAAAATATAACCCATGGCACTCCTGTAATTGGTGCATCATCTGTGTGTGAAATTCTAGAGTCAGGTCAACTGATAGGGGCTCCTGTAGTGACCAGTTTGTAGTAGGCTCCTTTCTGGGCCATCAGTTCTTTATGGGTCCCCTTCTCAATCACTGTCCCCTGGGACATGACAGCAATGATATTCGAGTTCTGGATGGTGGACAAACGGTGGGCAATGACAATGCAGGTCCGTCCTTCTCTGGCTTTGTCCAGGGCAACCTGCACCGTCTGCAAAGAAAAGGTAGAAAGATGATGCAAAGATACATGCTTGTTCCCCGGCTCACCATTGCAAGAGTTCTGTTTAATTCTACCTGAGTAACATTGCTATAGTCAGGGGTTAAACCCAAAGGCTTGACATAAAATAAATAAATATCTGCTGAATATAATGCACCAATGGTTTGAGTTGCAGTCCATAGGCTGAGAAATGTCAGTGAAGCTAGCATGAACCAAACTACGAGGTCATGACGTAATTTCAAAATACCTGATAGTCTAGTTTGCTAAAATGAAACCAAGGAAGCAAGGAAAGGTAGAAGTCATTGAACATTCCTGATTTTGTTCTTCAGCGAGGATATTTTAGCTGGCTCCAAAATGGAATCCTGGTGTTCAAGGAGTTAATCAATAGTAAATTTCATAATTGTGTTTTTTTGCTCAATTGCATCTCCTTTCATTCAAACTGCACAGCAGATACCACCTCTTACTTGGTGTTGTATGCTGCCTACCTGCTCTGCACAGCACTTTAGAACTATAAAAATGGCAATGCCCAACAAATGACCTGGATTATTTTACTTCACTTAATAAAGCTAATTCTTTGCCTTTGAAAAAAATGTCACCAAGCTTAGAGAATCTTAAAAACAATTTTTATTTTAAAGTTAAAATATTTTTTTTAAATTTGAAGCAACCCTATTTTAAATTACTTTCTCCAGTTCAGCGATTTTCAATCGTTGAGCTGCATGAATTTTTTAAACATGCAATACCTGACTATTTAATTGGGGGCACTGACCTCTTTTCCCTTAGATTGTCAAATAAAAAAATGACAACACCCAACACAACAATAGCTATCCAGTGTGAATAAATCAACATTATATCTCTTTTTCATCAGATCAACAAAAATATATGTATATTTTTGGTGTGTCACAGAATTTTAGCATTTGATGTGTGCCATGAGATGAAAAAGGTTGAAAATAACTGCTCCAGACTATTGTCCTTCACTGCAGAGTATTGGCAATTTCTACTGTACATGAATCAGAAAATTGAAAATAATGCCATTTTAGAAGGGCAAATATTACAGGAAAAGACTCATTTATAATGATCTAAAACTTCAGAAAACCGATACATACCTGTTCACTTTCTGTGTCTAAGGCAGAAGTAGCTTCATCTAGTAGCAAGATTTTAGGATCTCTCACAATGGCCCGAGCAATAGCAATGCGTTGTTTCTCTCCCCGAGAGAGTTGAGACCCCTGGGACCCAACATTAGTTTCATATTTCTGGAAAAAGTAGGATAAGTTTGAAAACCAGTAGCAGCCATTGCTCCTATGCTGTATGGAGCCCCCATCACTGATCCCTCTGGGAACTGAAACAATTGGTTGTTTTTTGAAATTGGAAATAGTGAATGGGTCCTTCTACATTGGATGTCAAATCCACTTAGAAATCTGCGACAAACATGGAGTCTGTGATCTTTTCCGCTGGGAAACAAGGGGCCCTTTTACACCCTCCTCTGCATTTCCTTTAGTTTTGTATTTTGATCTCTTTCTCTGTGTGTGAGATTCCTCACTGCTTCCAGATTCCCTGATTTCCAAACTCCTCTGTGGAAGATCTAAGACAGAATAACCCTAGGGAAAAGGGCCTTGTGAGAGATCTTCTAGTCGAGGCCCCTGTGGAGGAGGCAGCATTCTAGACCACAAGCCTAGATGTGAATCTCCATTTTGCTGCTACTAGCTCTGTGATCATGAGAACATTATTTAAATTTCTTTGAGGAATAAACCAATCTGAAAGATGCAGATGTTAATAACTAGTTCACATATTTGTTGTGCGTTTTAGATGAAATTATGAAGGAAAATTCCTAGCTAGATTCCTGGCATAACTACATAAAAATAGTTAACGTTGATGGACTATTTACTAGGCATTAGGTACTGTGCCAAACAACTATTCTAGTCAGATTATCATTTAATAATCACAAAAATCATTTTCTCCCTATTTTACAGATTACAAAACTTAGACACACACAGCTAAGAAAATTGTGTAAAAATAGACAAATAAAAAGCAGTGACAATAAATTCTAAATCCAGGTGTGTCTGGCTTCTGAACTTTTGCCCTTGACCATTACTCTGCCTGCCTTCCACAATAGGTCTGCCTCTGCCTCCCTAGCCTCCTGACAAATGCTCCACCAAGCCAACTGAGACTCATAATAGCCTACTTTGTCCTACTTTCACCACTGAGAAAAAGTGTTCAGTGAAAGGTATTATAGGTAAGTCTATCTGAGAAAGAGGCAATAAATTAACTCTAAGCCAGTGTCTCCCACAAAATGAGTAGGTGCTCAACAAAGATTTGTGGAATAAATGAATCTTTCAACGGACACAGCTTTGCCTTTCATTCAAGTTACAGCAAGTAGTCATTTCCACATTAGGCTACAAGACAGAATGAGGTCAGGAGCCCAAGACTTAGAAGCCTTTGTGAAAAAAATAAAATAAAATAAAATAAAAAAAGGCCCACCACAAAAGTTATAAATGTAATCACTTACAAAGAAAAGCAATTTCCAAGTGGTATTTAAGAGAAAGCAGTGGAAAAAATTAATGCAATATTTGCCTCCTAAAATCCAGTTTCCATGTCTTAATTTTCTTTGTGATCAATCACCAAGAGAGACTTGGTAGATGAAAAAGTTCAAGAGTCGATACTGTGCTAAGTTCACACTTGGCTTTGGAAGAGTGTGACACGCTCAGGCAGATGCACCTTAGCCCACCAGCTGCCCTGGTTCCTGGGAAACCATTCCAGCTGCAGTCTGTGCTGCCAAGTAATGAAATTATGACGACAATAATAACAGCAGCAGCTTTCTTTGTGTGGCTATTACGTATATTCTTTCATTCTAATGTTATTTTTTACAGATGACTGAGTCTCAGGCAAGATAAGTAATTGTCCCAACATTACACAGTTAGTAAGTGACAGAGCTTGGGTTCAAACCGGTCTGCTTTAAATCTCAGGACTTTTTTTCACTATGCTAGGCTGATGTCCAATGTGCTACTGCTTTATGTACTATAGCATCCTTTGTACCTGATGATAGAATACTTTCCTAAAGTAAAAAGTATGTTGATGGACATTTATTTTGTTTAAAAGACTGAGGTGAACCCCGGGCACTGAGAAATAAATTGTGTTGCCTTTGACTTTCTCCTTGAGCCCAAATCATGATACTCTTTGGTTATTTTCTCTCTCCCCATCACCATCTCCCCTAGGGAACCACTCTGACACAGTACTTACCTCTGGGAGTGACATGACAAAGTCATGCAGCTGAGCCTGCTTTGAAGCTTCTATGACTTTTTCCATGGGGATGTCTCTGGTGTTGTCCCCATACTTGATATTGTCTGTTATGCTACAGGCAAACAACACCGGTTCTTGGGAAACAATTCCAATGTTGGAACGGAGAAACTGGACATTCACCCTTTTGCTGTCATGCCCATCGATCATCTGCCAACAGAAGTAACAACCAGGGCATTAAGTTTTAGAATTCCAGTGGCAAGGAAAGTTTATATTCTAGAATTAATATTATGTAGGATATTTGCTTTGCTGAAGAGACAATAATCCCAGGACTCTTAGAAATAAATTATGTTGCCTTTGACCCTTGGAGGTGGGGTCTATCAGAATGGTGTCAAAGTTATAATCAGACTATGGTTTTGTTTGTTTGCTTCCCAAAGTTTAGCTGTACAGGTGGTACAAATGAGAAAAGTACTCAGGGCAGTATTTAGTTGTGTTTTTTTTTATGTTCTTATTGATTCTTAAAGAGAGAGGAAGGGAGAGGGATAGAGAGATAGAAACATTAATAAGAGAGAAACATCATAGATTAGCTGTCTCCTGCACCCCTCCTACGGGAATGGAGCCCACAACCCAGGCATATGCCCTGATATCAGGAATTGAACCAGTGATCTCTTGGTTCATAGGTCAATGCTCAATCACTGAGCCACACAGGCTAGTTTTTTTAAAGGTCCCCTTATACTTTGGTGCAGGGCATCCTCCACAGATTTGTAGAACTGCTCAAATTTGAGACCCCATGGGTTATAAAATTGGACCACATAAGAATCAAACCTGTTTCCATGAGCTTACTGACATCAGTCTCTGCATAACTAGATAATAGACCTGAGTAAGAAAGGAATACATTTACTCACTTAGTCAACAAACATATATTGAATCCCCTACCACAGAGGCACTAAGCTAAGCAGTCTTTTGCCTGCTATAGAAAGAAAATATATATTTTTTAAGGAACTCACTCCTTAGTTAGGCAGTTAAGTATAGGAACTCAAATATCTACCATTTGAGCTGGTTCACTTAAAAGTACTAACATACTACTGTAAAGTATTTGGTCCTTTGATTTCAGAAAAAGACTATGGTAAATGGTGTGAGCATATTATATTGTAGATAATATCTCAGCAATGAGAAAAGCAAACACTGTTAGAAAGAACATAAGGCATTCCTCAACAATTAGCCCTCTATCATTTTCCTCTACTCATTTTCCATAGTTTGTATAGTCTGCAAAGCACAATTAATACTTAATTAAATACTGGAGCTGTTTGCTAATTGTTGCACATGTGCTAGTATTGTAAGCTCCTAGAAGACAGAGTCATGCTTCATGGTCCTTAATATCTCCCACAGGGCCCAGTGCAGTCCTGCACACCATAGGTAGCCAATTAAATGTTGAAAAGGTTGAATGCTTGCATTCAGTAGCTTCCTTAAGAGCAAAGAGGATTTTCAAAATTGCATAAAAGGTGGTATTTCTTTCTACTTAAAAATGTTTATGGAAATGTTTTACAATGATAACAAAATATATTGAGTCCACAAAATGCAAGGAATCATTTTGATTTCCTCATGGACATTGCTCTCTACCTAGGACCAGAACATTCACTGAGCACATTCAGAGAAATATACATAATATGTATGTTTTTCTCAGCATTTCTCTTCATAAAGTTATTTATGCTCATTGCAATGAAGATTAAACTATTCAGGGAAATAAAAAAGGCCTTTTTCAAAATATTAAGATGAAACAGTCAATCAAGTGTGGAGCAGAATAAAGCATTTCCAGACCCTTGCCTCTGCATCACATCTTAGAAAACTACTGTGGGCATACTCCAATAAGATAAGAGTGAAGAGCAAGAAAGAGAATGATATAGGGACTAGGAAATGATAGATCTAATCTAAGAAAATATTGCAGGAAACTCAAGGTGCAAATTATTCAGCAGGTACAGGTTATAATTAGCCAAGGCAGTGGCAGAAATGAGGGAAGGAAGCAGATCCCTCAGGATAGGTAGCAGGATAGAAACTCTGGAAGAACATAAAGACTTATAAAGGCAGAGAATACCAGAAAAATAATCTTTCAGAAAAACCAGAAAGAAAATGTAATGCTAATAGACCTCACTACTTGACTAAGGGATAAACACTATTTATTTATATAATCAGAATAAAAGTTGGTCATTGATTTTCAACTTTAAGAATCAGCCTAAAATGAAAGCATGAAAGGTAAGAAATGTTATAAACAGAATGTGAGCATTTTGTATTATTGAGCCTATAAAAGTGTAGTTAATAGGACTTGACAGGTTAAAGGAGGAAGAGCTGAAAATAAAGGTAGAATTGCTAATATTCTCATCTTAGAAAGGGAGAATTCCAGAGATGTTATCTATATGTGGTAAAAAAAAAAAAAAGAAAAGAAACAGAAGTATATTAGTTAAATTTACAAGTAGAGGAACTTTTATATATCTATAGTAGTATTGTGAGGGGGTGGGTAAAAGGAGAAAGAGTAGTGAGAGCCAGCTAAATTTTCATCACTTCAACAGAATCTAAATTTGTTAAATCACAAAACAGCAGCATAAGCATATTATTTAGAGGCACTGAGGTAATCATTGGGAGATCTGAAAACATCAGTGGTCAAAATGGTTGCCTTTGAGCAGAGAAATGGGGGAGTGGTAGAAAGAGTAGAATAAAGACTTGTTTTTCATTACAAATCTTTCTTATTTTGTTTTATACTCCTCTGCATATATTCTTTGGAAAGAAAGAAAGTAACATAAACGGAGAGAAAAGAGAAAGAAATACTGCGGAAAAATAAACAACAAAGCAAATTTGCCAATTTTTCAAATATTCTCACCAAAGCTTTATGGTGCATGACTACCATTTGAGTTCCTTGTACTATTTAGACTGAAGCGTCTTAAACCAGGATTGTCTCAGATTTCTTCAAATCCCCATTCTTGCTCATCTATCACTGTGTCCCTTATCACCCCCACTTTTTTCCGTTCCCAGTCATTAGTCTCCTGATTAGTCTGCACTTTCTGCTCCATTTACGGGTAAGTGAATGCTTCTGCTAAATACACTCATCTCCAGCATTGCAGTGTGCCCGGTTTTCCTTGCCTAACTGGTCAGCAGGCCATCTGGAACTGGGAAGAATCTGATATTAGAAATTGTGAGGTAGAATCAGGTCAACCAGCAAATGACCGGTTCTGGAAACTATCCATATGGGGGAAAGGCCAAGGCTAGTGCTGTAGAGTGAGTCTGCCAAGGCGCAATCTTGAAGGCCACTCTCAGGGGTGGGAGATATTCTGCAGAAAGCAAAATCCCCTAAAGCTTTTGCATTGCTTACCACCTTCCCTTGGTCAGGATCATAGAAACGCTCCAACAGCTGGACACTGGTGCTTTTGCCACATCCACTGCTTCCAACAAATGCCAGTGTTTGCCCTGGACTAACCGATATTGAGAGCCCATTCAGAACTTGTATATCAGGTCGAGAGGGATATGTAAATTTACAGTCAACAAAGTCAATCTGCCCCTGGAAGTTGTCCTGTGGATGGGAAGATTGGAATTATAAATATACCTACTAGAATATGGAAAATGCAACTAAATCTGAGTTTTAAATCCCTGCTTAAGATACCTTCAGCACCATGCTGCCAAAGTGCAAAGCACAAAGACAGCTATTTAATGAATTCCCTATTCCAGCAGGTGCAGAATAAAGGGAGGTTTGAGCCTTTATTCTGAAATTAAAGATATGTGAGCTCTTATTCCCATTCTAACCTAAGGGATTTCCTTGTCATCCATTACTTGACATTCTGGAAGAATGTCAAATGGAAAAGAATAGCTAGAATATATGATTACATCTTAGAAGCCAGGAATTGTCCAAACCCTCTAGCTCTATTCCCCCAAAGATTTCAAATAATAGCATTACACTTGAAATGTCTTAGAAAGTGACCTAAGCCCTCTACTGCAAATGTGAATACCTTCAGTTGCACTATCTGAATTATGAATTCTAGAAATGAATAGATATGTAATAGGCCACACAGAGACTTTACTTTCATTGGACTAAAAGAGAAACAGGTCATTTGATCAATTTAAAAAGATTTCTGAATTTAGTTTAGCTTTATAAAGTTTACATTTGTTTTGCTCTCCTGAACATTTTAGGATATTTGAAAACAAACAGAGAAGATTAAAAACTGCCTATGGAGACTATAAATTAGGAGAAGAGATATTTTGTTAAGATCAAATTAATTTTCTAGCCGCCCATATAATAAGCTAAAACTTGAACACAGATAAACATGAATTACAACAATATCACTGGACAGGAAAAACTGGTTTTTCTACATTCCATCCCAGAACATCAGCAGAAAACATGGTGTTTGGATAGCTTCATTATTCTGGAACTAAGTGTGTTTTATAGTACACAGAATTTAGCATTCACTGGATCTTGCTATTTTCTTCGAATGTCTTCTTTATAAATAATTTTTAATGCTAATTTACCTCATTTCTTTACATTTATAAATCTGTCTGTCCATTCTGAGTGCATATGAATGAACCCATGTGCTGCAGAAATTTAGAAGCTATGTGGTGGTGGTGTATGATCAGCCCCAATAGCTGTTCTTCACACGCACATAAGCACAACCCTCCCCCACTGCCCTCATACCCCCATCTCAGTACTCACCCATTTTACACCTGCACCACTGTATACATTGATCGGGGGTCGTCGGTCCAGCAGTTGAAAAAAGCGTGCAGCTGATATCTTAGCTTTGGCATAACTTGGGGTGTAAGAGTAGGCTTTTCCAAGAGCCGTCCCACTCAGTACAACTGAAGAGATCACCCTGCAATTGGATAGACACCCATGTCGAGAGGAATGTGGTGTGTTTGGTGTGAGGGCCTGAAAGGCAGGAGTTTGGGGGTCTAGTCCTGGTTCTGTTAGCAAAGAACTGAGCAACCTTGGACAGGTCACTTTAGACTTGTCTGGGGAGCTAGGGTTGGAGAGATTAGCAGTGTTCAAATTGTGTACTATGAAAAAAGGGTGAGGGGAGGATTAAACAAGAGAAGCTCAGACATCCCAACCCTGCTTCAATTACAATAGCTTCTTTTTTAAAAATGTGTTTGAGAAAAGAGTTCTTAAAAAAAAATAAAGGGGGCATAAAAATCACCAGATTGGGTTAATTTTTTTTTTTTTACAATGCTAACATTTTTTGAACCTATCATAAGTGCATAAAAGAATGATTGGTGATTAATGCATCAATCTGTACCAAGCATGCATATAATTCATGCTTCAGACAGTGAAAGAAAGATATAATTGCCTGTATCCTTTTATTTGGCCCAGCTCTTAACTATATTCAACATATAGTGTGTAATTAATGAGCAAATGAGTGAATGAGTGGATGAATAAATGGAAGCTGCTCTGTTGCTATATACATTGTGATACAACGGGCACCCTGAAAAGTTGTCCCAAGCACAGAGGACCTGCTTCTATAGTGGTAGGGAGCAGTGTCTTCATGTGTCTGATGGCTCTGTTTTAGGTCAGATTTGCAAACCCAAACATCTCCAGGAGGCCCGTCTGAAGTTTAAAGCAATGAGAAGCAACTGGAATGAAATGGGAAGTGGTGGAAGGTGATCTAAAGAGAAGCCAGAAATTAGGAGCTTTCTACAGTCTCTGAGTTTTTACATGTTGGCTAATAAATAATTCTTCAAAAATCTTATATAAACTAAATAAATCACCAGTTTGTGATTGAGGATTTAAGTTAGTAAATGAGCAAAAATTTAGAAAAGAGACTTTCCTGGTTGGGGTCAGTGTAATGGGGCAAGAGAAAAAAAAATCTTCTATGTTGAATATCAAAGGCAAGAAGACAGAACTCATGACTTGGGAATGAAACCAAAAGAACAAATTTCTATTAGGACCACTTTCCTTAATGCTCTCCAGGCCTTTCTCAGGCCATTTCCCCCTACCCACTTATGCCCTCCCACCCTCCACAGCACACCCATATACATGTCCCTTGGGGTCCTGACACCCTCAGGCTCTCTCCTCTGGAAATGTGAGAAACTGGACTCAAAGCGAATCTCATAGCAGAGCAGGGTCCAGCTTTAAGAAAGGAACATGATTCTCCTGAACTGCCTTTTTCCATCTTCACCTAGAAGGAGTCAGCTGGAAACATGCCCTTTTGGTAAGAAGTAGAGTTCAAATAAGGTAGTTCTCTGAACCATCCTATTCCAGGCCTCTAGATTTTCTCAGCATTAGCCAGTCTGGTAGATTATGAAAATGGTTCATTCATCCTATTTCTATGTATGCACCCCTTTGCAATACGACTTTTTTACTCCTCTGTGACATGGTGATTTATAATGAGAAACATTTCGCTTTTCCCAGTTCCTGACACAGAGCACCTAAGCCCTTGAAATTTCCCATATATGAAGAGCAATCATGTTAGTGAAATAACTTTTGGAAAGGGGTGTAACTTTCAGTCTCTTCCACCACATTTCACCTCCAGGGAAAGATACAGGGTCTGAGGGTTCTGAGTGTGGTAAGGTGGGTGGCCTTGTAGGACCATGTCCTTCATGTGTGGGCTCTGATGCTATCTCCAGGAACATGGTGCCAGAATGAAGTTGAGTTGTGGGACTTTGGTGTCAGAAGTGTTGTGTGATAGTAGGATGAGAATAAAGGAGAAACATATCAGATACTTTCATCAAAAGGTGGACTACAGTTCTCTAGTCTTTAAATATGGACTTGATTGTGTGACTTTCTTTGGTCAAAGAGATATCCTATATAATAAAAGTCCAGTGACCAAATGGCGGAATGAACAGAACGACCAGTCAGCCAGTCACTATGACACACACTGACAACCAGGGGGCAGATGCTCAATGCAGGAGCTGCCCCCTGGTGGTCAGTGCACTCCACAGTGGGAGCACCACTGGGCTGACTGGGATGAATGGTGCTCCCACAGCGGCTGATCCCTGCAGGCCACGCCCCCACCAGTGCACGAATCCCATGCACCAGGCCTCTAGTTAGAAAATAAGATGCATGCAGACTTGAAAAGTGCTTGCACACTGGGACTTGCTCTCTTTGGTGCACTTGGAACTCTGAGAACATAATGTGAAGAAAACAAGCTCACCTACTAGAGCGTCCCTGTGGAGACAGAAGCCCACTCAGAAGCTTGACTGAGTTGGCCCAGTCCAGAAGAACCACCCTGAAAATCTACAGACTCTTGAGAAATAATAAATCCCAGCTGTTTAAGACATCCAGTTTGGGATGGTTTTTAAGCAGCAAAAAGCTAACTTACAGAACCAGGCTATTCTTCCCAGAATATTGATCTTTTATGACCTTGGCCTATAGTCCTCACCTGAACACGTAGCTGAAATGGAGCCCCTCGTTGTAGATTAAGTAACCTCCATATCTGTAGGAAGCAGAATTAGCAACAAACACAATGCATTGGGAAAATCCAAAGCAGAATCCATAAACATTTGCTTTTCGAATGGCTGTCTTGAATGGCTTCACCAGCTCTCTCTCAAATGCTTCAATAAACTGCCTCTCCTTTCCAATTCCAGCAATAGTGCGGATATTACTGAGGGCTTCACTTGTAATCTGAAGGATGAAAAAGAGTCTTAGGAATAAAAGAGCAAAAATTACTTTCGTGACATTTCAGCTGCTACATGGATTAGACTATAGTGCAAATGGCAGAATGTGGTACAAATCGCAGACAAAGGATCATCATGGAACACAGCGAAGTTGTTGGAGATCAACTCAACAGGAATGCAAGACATTCTGCCAGCTGAACTCAAGTTCTACTTCATACTAACATGGCTGTGTTGCTTCCACTTGTGGAAGAGAGGAGATGGGAGATACACATGGTAATCCTTGAAAGCTTTTTATCTTCATCGTTAATTCATTTAAAATGTCTACAATGGGCCCGGCAGGCGTGGCTCAGTGGTTGAGCATCGACCTGTGAACCAGGAGGTCATGGTTTGATTCCCGGTCAGGGCACATGCCTGGATTGCAGGCTCGATCCCCAATGGGGGGAGTGCAGGAGGCAACCAATTGATGATTCTCTCTCATCCTTGATGTTTCTATCTCTCTCTCTCCCTTCCTCTCTGAAATCAATAAAAATAAATATATTAAAAAAGTCTACAATGGTATCTTTATATGTCTTCTGAGACAAAAGGTTATTTAATAATATAAATTTAACATAGCTTCTATTTCCTTAAAAAGTTAATCTGACCAAATATTATTTAAGTTAAATTAAGTGTAAAGTTTATCTTTTGGTTTATACTCTGACTTTGTTTCAATCCATACTCAGGGTAAATAATCAGCTTCTGAATTAGGGTCCTATCCTAAACAAAGACACAACCATTGGCATATGAAATCCTTTTGGCTTCTGCCTACTCAGGCAGTGTTCACATTCTCTCTTTTAAAAGAGGCAAAACCTAGATTATAGTAAATTTTCTTAAAGAGTAAGGGTGTGTATGTGCATGATTTCTTATACTTAATAAATGTCCATGCTGCCATTCCCTCATTTGCTCCTGATAACCAGATATTAATTCGAACATACTTTTAAAAGTGCATAACTAAGCTTGGCCAATGTTGCTCAGTGGTTGAGCATCCACCCAGGAACCAGGAGCTCACAGTTGATTTCCGGTCAGAGCACATGCCCAGGTTGCAGGCCCGATCTCTGGTGGGGGGCATGCAGGAGGCAGCTGATCAGTGATGTTTCTCTCTCATTGATGTTTCTATCTCAATCCCTCTCCCTTCCTTTCTCTTTAAAAATCAATAAAAACATATTTTTTTAAAAAGTGCATAACTAAAACTTAATTGTATTTGAAATCTAAGTTGTACTTCATGGTTCTGTTTAGGAAAGACATTTGCCACAAATCTAACAGGCATTAAAGTGTGAAATTAAAAGTTTGTGCCATTAAAAAGATAACTCTTTCTCCAAGTGGGCTGCATAACCTGGGGAAATCACTAAGATGAAAAAACTGAACAGACAGAAAGCTGAACTATCTGGTCTTGCAAATGAGAATACACCAGATTGGGATGTGGGAAAAATAACTATATTGAGAGGAAATTGAACATGTAACCAAATTGAACATGCCCCACTATCTGTCCACACCTACTCAAACCCTGTGTCAGAACTTGATTGTCATAGCCTTTGAGCAGAGGCACATATGAAAAGGGCTAGTGGGAGGTTGCTAACCATGAAAGTTGTAGGTGAACAGCGTCCTAAGTTTCTTTGTACTACACACTCATTCTTATAACAGTGACAGCCATTCAGCCATAGTTGGTCTAAAAACCGGGTCCGTAAGGTTACCTGTCCCGCCGACTCCAGAGCCTGCTTGTCTTGAGAGGCAAATCCTGTCAACATTCTGGTCTGTACAGCTCCCGATAAAGCCAGGAAAGGGAGGAAACATACTATGACCAAGCTTAACTTCCAGCTACAGAAGAAGGCAACAATCATGGCCACAACGATGTTAGTGAGGGAATTGACCATCATCCCGATTTGAGAGCCAGCAGCCTGCAAACCAAAAGCAATCAAGCAAGCTCAGACATGGAGTCTCTTTTACCAAATACCATCACGTGACCAAGCTCTTTTATTCCAAAAAGATCGTTTTTTAAAAATTATTATGATAAAAATATATAGCATTGTGTTTATTATTTTACCCATTCATAAGTGTACAGTTCAATGGCATTAAATACATTCACATTGTAACTATCACCATCATCTATAGTATAGATTCTATACCCAAAACCTCTCATCATCCCCAACAAAATTCTGTGCCCATTAAATTATAGCCCCCATTCCTGCCTCTCCCAAACCCCTGACAACCTCTATTCTATTTTCTGTATTTATGAATTTGCCTTTTCTAGGTGCCATTAATAAGTGAAATTATATAACCTATTTCTGTGTCTATCTTATTTTACTAAGCATAATGCTTTCTAGGTCTATTTGTGTTGTAGCATTTATCAGAATTTTATTTCTGTTTTTAAATCAAAGTATAGTTAACATACAATATTATATTAGTATTTGCAACATAGGGATTTAACATTTAAATATCTTAAAAAGAATCACCATGATAAGTCTAGTAAGCATCTATCTATCACCATATGAAGTTATTATATTCCCTATGTTGCACATTACATCTCTATGACTAAGTTTATAACTGAAAGTTTTACCTCTTAATTCCCTTCACCTATTTCACCCATTCCCCCACCTCCTTCTCCTCTGGCAACCATCAGTTTGTTTCTTATATCTGTGAGTCTGTTCATGTTTTTTTTCATTTATGCATTGGTTTTGTCTTTTAGATCCCACATATAAGTGAAATTATATGGTATTTGTCTTTGTCTGACTTATTTCACTTAGCACAGTACTTTCTAGGTCCATCCATGTTGCTGCAAATGGCAGTGTTTCATTATATATTATATATTTTTTAATCATCTGTTGATGGACATTTAGGTTGCTTTCATATCTTGGTTATTTTAAATAATGCTGCAATTAAGGAGTGCATATATCTTTTCAAATTAGTGTGTTCATTTTCTTTGAATAAATATCCCGAAGTGGAATTGCTAGGTCATTTCTTTTAAAGCTGAATAATATTCCATTGTATGTATAGACCACACTTTGCTTATCCATTCATCTGTTGATAAACACTTGGGTGTTTTCACCTTTTGGACATAACAAATAATTCTGCTATGAATATTGGTGGACAAATATTTGTTTGTGTCCCTGCTTTCAGTTCTTTTGGATATATATCTAGGAATGGAATTACTGGGTCATACGGTAGTTCTATGTTTAAAAAGGTAGTTTATTTTAAATAATGGGCTTCCCTAATGCATTTGAAGGCTAGATTAATAAAAATTTATTTTATTCACAGCTTCTTGGGATCTGTTGCTTGATCTCATTTCACGGGTGTCAGAGCTAGAGTAGGCAGTGTGAGATTAATTCAGTCCTAAGCATGGGCTGCATGTCTTTCAGGTATTTATGCATTTGGCTTCCAAATACTCATGCATTGGGCTTGTGGTAATATTACTTATTATTCAGTGAAGATTGATGCTTGCTCTATAATTACCATTTTGAAATTCATACAAGACTATGAAAAGACACCACTTTGATTCTCACTGAAGTTAGCCTGCTCATTGGTACCATATTACATGCTGACTTAATACACAGATGTTTAGCCAACACAGGGAGACAAAATGGATTCGGTCTCAATATAGGTAGAGATTGGAGCATTGTGGTGATTACTTATATTAATCAAAAGTATTCAATCGTTCCAAGTCTTCATTTCACTTGCAGCTATGCAAATATGACCAAAGGTTGGTGCCTTCTGTGTAGAAAACACATGGGTAGGTACAAGTACAGGACTGCTTTTCAAAATTAAAGAGACTTTAGCATTATTTAAGGCAACCAAAGGTAAGCTATTAGGCAACCATGGGTGCTAAGGCAGTGCTATTAAAAAATAATCTGCATCTTCATACTGTATGCAAGACCCAAACAGAATATGAACACAGTAAGACAATGCTTACTAAACCTTTCAAAATGAGTATACTTTCAGTATAAGCCAATGATTACACTTTGAGAACAAAGAACAATGAAGGATGTGCTAAACTACTTAGAGAGGCTTCTTCCCACACACTTTGCCTCCACCCTGAGAGGAAATCCAAAACCCTGATATATTTTGACTGCCTGTTTCTTAGCATTGGAGATGCAGGGAAATGTGGCTCTGGGGTATTCCAATCCTGCACGGTCCTATTTCATAGGAAATACATAGGTGATTGTCTGAAGGCTCAAAAGAAAGAAAATGTACTCCAGGTACAACAGCCCTAGCACATACCCTCTACACCCCCACCCTGTCCATAGCTTACCCCTTGAACTTGGGAAGCATCTGTAGCAAGCCTTGTTGTCAGTGCTCCAGGGCTATTTCGGAGGTCATCAAACCAGCCGATGTCTTGCCCCAATATTGCTCTGAAACCAAATTTACGTAGCCTTTTTGTGAGGAGTTCTCCAGATTTAGCAAAAGCATATCCCTAAAACATAAAAGAGTTTTAGTGATATGTTAACAGGGAAAAGAGGGAAATAGCTTAATCACTTATTTAAAAATAAAATTCCTTACCTGCAGAAATTGAGTGCAAAGGGATACACAGCCCATTGCTACAAAAAGCAGGCACACACCATTGATCTGTGACCTTTGTTCTTCTTTATCAGGAAGTGAAAAAGTCTTTGCAAGACAGTAAGCAAGAAAGTAACTTTATTATTACCAAAGAAAAATCAAATTTCTTTTAGAAATTTCTCTTAAGCATTGAGTTAAAAACGATTTCACTTTAAACATTAAAGTGATTAATGTTTACCAGTAATTAAACCAAAGTTAACTTTGAGTGTGTGTACTTTAATTCCCAGTGGGGAAGGAAGCCTGGAGAATGAAAACCAATGGTTATGATTTACAGAATTGTTGTCTTGTTTCTTTACCTGATATAGGCAATTGTGTTGGCTTTCTTTTGAAATAGATGAAAAACTGTTATGAAATGCCTCAAATCTTTTATGTAATTAGGTAAAGAAAGTAAAGGAAGGAAGGAAGGAAGGAAGGAAGGAAGGAAGGAAGGAAGGAAGGTTACTTGAGAATCTGAGAATGTTATCTGGGACATAACTCAAAGTATTATGACCTCTGTCTTTCTTCAATAATAAATGCAATAAGCCCTGACCGGTTTGGCTCAGTGGATAGAGCGTTGGCCTGCGGACTGAAGGGTCCCCAGGTTCGATTCCGGTCAAGGGCATGTACCTTGGTTGCGGGCACATCCCCAGTGGGAGGTGTGCGGGAGGCAGCTGGTCGATGTTTCTCTCTCATCGATGTTTCTAACTCTCTATCCCTTTCCTTTCCTCTCTGTGAAAAATCAATAAAATATATTCAAAAAAAATAAATAAATGCAATAAAGATGATATTCCCACTCAGGTACATTGCCTGTTATTAGTTTTTTAGAATATATATGTATATATATATATATATATATATATATATATATATATACACACACACACACACACACACACACACACACACACACAAATAATGGCATCATTAAAAAAGCAACTAGCTATCAAGATATTGACTGGAATTGGCTTAGGAGAGAAAAAAGTTTTCATCCATCTGAGGCTGAGGTTGTTGGCTCTAAATCACCGGACGCTGAAAACATTCCTTTCAAAAAACTATGAAAATTGTGAGTGGGTTTTCTTAGCCTATAGTAAGTAGTAAACTATACTCACAAGTACCTATATTCTGCACTTAACAGACATATGCTCAAGTAATGGATTGGGGACTAAGCTGTTGCAATAAGAAAATGAAGAGAACAGCCACATATTCTAATGGCATTGCCCTACAGTGAAAGGGGTTTTAGGTACAACAACACCTTCCTAATTCAGACTAAACGAGGGAACTGGAGAGTTCAGAAAAAAAGCATACATTATAGAGCTGTACAATAAATTCTTATTTATTGCTCAAAGGCAACCAGTTATTCAATAAATATTTACTGAGTACCACTATATGCCAAATAAATATCCTGAAAACAATGTACACTACTCAATTAACAGATCCTTTTTTGTAAAGCCAATATAACCCATTCTTTTTTTAAAATATATTTTTTTATTGATTTCAGAGAGGAGGGGAGAGGGGGAAAGGCATAGAAACATCAATAATGAGAGAGAATCAATGGTTGGCTGCCTTCTGCATGGATCAAATCTGACCAGGAATCGAACTGTGACCTCCTGGTTCATAGGTCGACACTCAACCACTGAACCATGCCGGCCAGGCCAAAGTAACTAGTTCTAACTATCACAAATTCCAAAGTGGGAAAAGGGTTCCAGATGAATGAGATTTACTGTTTCTAGGACAGAAAGTTTCTAGAGCCTTCATGGTTCTTTATACAAGTAAAAGTGGTTTCAGGAGTCACCACAGTCATTCTCCCAGCATAGCATAGCTCACATTTTTACTTTATAAAGTTTAAAAATTCAGGACTTTAAAGATATATTTCAGTTTGCTTTTTTAAAGCACTATACAGATCCCCTGCAAACCCAAACAGTGATGACACGATGTCCATTCCTCCCTAAAGTCACAGACTACAGTATAGAGCTGTAGATTATCCAGTTTAACTCTTATTTTCCAGATGGAAAACTAAAGCCAAAACATCAAGTCTTTTTTTGCAAGTGGTTATTACTGGATAAGGAAATGCCTATATTACAGATTCCAGTGCAAAGGCTTTCTTCTGAGCATACTCTTTGGCTCTTGGTATTACCCATCTTCTCAGTGTTAAAAAACAACAACAATATTTGGCTAATGTTAAATCCACATAACTGTCCAGAGCAAAAATGATCTTCTATCTATCCATAATCTTTTAAAATAACATTCTGCCCCATGAGTTCTTTGTACTTTCTTTGTTCTTGCAACCCAAAGGGCTATCCATCAATAGGTTCCTCTGTTCTTAGACTAGTGGTTTGAGCATACGTCAGTGCCACTCTTTTAATGGAAATCCGCTTATGGTGAAAACAAACATTCACTACACTCTTGCTATTTACCAGATGCCAAATGTGTTGCTTAACCTAATTTAACTTGTAAAGACTTCCTTAAATTGGGATTCTTTTTTTTAATAATTAAATCTTTATTGTTCAGATTATTACATTTGTTCCTCTTTTTCCCCCCCATAACTCAAATTGGGATTCTTAACACGACCCAGTGTGGTAGATTTTCTTGCCCATGTAATAGATGAGGAAACTAAGGCTCATCAAGGAGAAGCCCTTTGCCCAAATGCACAGAGTTCAGAGCAAAGACTACTACAAACCCAGGGCTAGCTGACTCCACAGTTCGTGCTTTCCCTATTCAAATTGCTGTGCTTGGAACACTTGGCACATTTTCCAAGTCAAAAAGACCCAGGGAATGTGAGTCAGATAAATTATGCCTTACATGTATATTGAGGCTTCACTAGCTTAGCAATCAGGCTCCTAGTAATACCCAATAATTTGCTGAGTCCATGTGCCAAACTATGGTCTCAATACACTAAATGTGAACATTGTGCCCTTTACATATGTCAGAATGAAAATAGCGCAATTAAAAGCAGACTATTATCTGACTCATGATTATAAAAATATCATGAATCTACTTATGAATATGTGATAAGAGACAAACAGAAACAATCTTCATTACCAGAGAGGAAATATAGTAGTTTGTTTAGCATCATTCTCTTAGCAAATATAACTCTGGAGGATATTAACCATGAGAAGACTTTGGATTTCACCAACTAGACCAAGATCCTGCTACTCTCATCCTGCAGCCCTTAAGTGAAAAGTTCAATTGATTGGGTTAAGTTTTTCCTAAGATTTCTGGTTGTGACCAGAAGAATCACAGAGAATATTCTCACCACAAATAAATGGTGGGTGCTCTAGGAGGGCAGGGGTTATAGAAGAATAATCAAATTTTTTCTGTTTTGGCCATTTCATAGATCACTAGAGCTGGAAGGTATCTTAGAAATTATCTTAGTCCTTCATTTTAAAGTTCAGGAAACAGAGGCCTAGAAAAGTGCTATGATGGGATCCCATATGACTTATGAAGCTCCCCTCCCTCCACATACCCCCTGCCCCCCCCCACCCCCCCATTATGGCAGTGAAGGGCTCTGGCCAGGTTTCTATGGAAATTGCTGAATTCTACACCAAAAGCAATAATAATGATAATAATAATAAGATAAATATAGTATTTGATAAGTAACTAACAGAGCCAGTTTCAGAAGTAAAGTCTCCTGACAGGAAAACCAGGATTCTTTCCACAGCAGTTCATCTATAGGATGAAGTTGGGTGAGTATATTCCTTACTTTGCTTTTATAAAACAGAAGGAAATGATCAGCAAAGATGCTGACCCCCTGGATTTATTTTAAAAACAAACATCTAGGGCATAGTCTTGAGTCTTTATAGGTTCAACTCTATCCCCTGCACCTTCTACATCTACATCACTGCTAAGTACAATGCATTTCCAGAGCTTCTCGCTACTAGAATATCAGCTTTATGAGAGCAGGAAGGGGCTTTGATTTTCTTGTTCACCACTCTGCTAGTCCCAAGACCAGCAACAGTGTCTGCTAAACAATAAGTGATCAATAAATGTTTGTTGAATAATTATATTATGAGTGGATTTTTTTTGTTTAATGCCTGTCTTCCTCAGAGACTTAAAATGCCATTAAGGAAGACACCATGACTGATAACTGCATTTCCAAGTTCTTAGCACTGTGTCTAGGGCAGATAACAAATATCTGTTGAGTGAACAAATATTTCTATTATTTTAGGATATTGCACTTAGTATACATTAAGGTATATAAATTAATTATTTAAAAGATTTTCAGCATAAAGGTTTTACATAACCAGAAATTCGATTTACCAGAGTTGAAGGTCCCCTGTGTTTTCAATTACCTCTCCCTGAAGTGAATATGATTTCCTCACTTACCACAAGGGGGCAGTGTGAAAATTGAAGCCCAGGCTGGGGCCCTCCCTACATGATTGACTTGATTTTGTCTGTGGACTAGCCAGGTCTTTATATACAAATCATGCCTGTGGGGACATTTTTTCTGGTCAGGAGCTCTGCTAGAGAGACAAGGAGAGGGGGGGGGGGGGGGGGAGGGGGCAGAGAGAGAGAGAGAGAGAGAGAACAGACACAGAGACAGAATAACTAAAACTTAGGACTCCTACTAAGCTCTGACAATGTGGTGTGCTGGCAGATCCTTTAGACTAGGCTTCTGAAAGGCTGGGTTCTAGTCCTGGCCCCATCACTTAATGCCTGTGTTACCTTGAACAAGTTAATAAAGTTCTCTAGATTCTAGGTTTGCCTTTCTGTTGACCTCACAGGATAGTGTGTGTGTGTGTGTGTGTGTGTGTGTGTGTAAATTTCAACTAAGAAAACTTGATAGCATTTTGATAAATAATTTTGCAATGATAAGGTTTTATTAGAACCTGACTCTATAGAAACACTGCTTCAATTTGAATCTTAGATTCACTACTTGCTATCCTAAGTTCTCTGTGCCTTGGTTTGCTCCTGTGTAAAATGGGAACAATAAGAATAGCTACTGCAGATGGTTATTAGGAGAGGTTAATGTACTGTTATATGAAAGTGGTTAGCTAGTGTCTACTGTCTGTAGTTATTTTTTATTATAGCACTGAAGTCAGATGGAGAATACTCAAAACGTCTAGGAAGTGAAAAAATGACATAAATGTAATCTTTTCCAATTCCTATTTTACTTCACCCTCCTTTTCCCATTTTCTCTCTAATCAGCAGGAAAGCAGTGTGTTACACAATGTACTCTAACACTTGCTATTATAAGTAAAACTTCGTACCTCAGCTGTTCAGCAAGATAAAAATAGCCCTAAAATTCTTTTGTATTATTCAACAAACCTGTTTGCATTCTGATTTGGTTTGCATGTAGGTTAATTGCCCTCTTCTAACATTAAATTTGAAGCCTTAGTGCCATTTTTACAGACTTGATGATGACGATGAGTGTCCTGCCAGCCCAAATGGCAGAGCTTAGCTTCGCCTTCTTATCTGCTGTGTGATGTGATACTTGAGGCATTTTAATTCTTTAGAGATGAGAAAAAAACTAAACACATTCCCTGGTAAGTAAAGAGCCAATCTATCAAAAACGACAATATCCACTGATAGAAGCACCAAAGGTAAGGAGATTAAAGATAGTCCAGCCGTTTGCTTACCCCAAGAATCTGGCTGAATAAAAAGGCATAGAGGGGTGTGACTGCCCCATTGACAGCGGCACCCACAGACCCCACCACCATGTAGGGCCATTCTGGAGCATTGAGTTTCAGAATCCTCCGAACCGGGGCAGGTTCAATTTCTTCTTCCACAGGAATGTTCTTGTCCTTGAGGGGAGAGAGGGTTAGATTAATCATCCAAATGTACACACAGACACTTTTTTACATACTATTTTTTTATATAGCAGACCCTTTAGCATTCACAGGTGGAAGAGTCATGTTTTGACTGGTTATGAGTGACCTCAAAGATCTATGAGGAGTGGTGATTTGTTATTTTGTGAGGACTGGTTTTAAATTTCTTGAGACCCAGGTGTCACTGGAAGGAAGGAGCCTAGAGGGGCTACTCCTCTGAAAGTGAGTTTACAGTTTTCATTTCACAACTGCATACACATTGACTCTTGGGGAGTAATCAATATGTTGCATCTTTGAGGAAAATAAACTTCTGATTTAAAAAAAAATATTTGTGTTATAGTAGTATTTACATATTTGAGGACTTATGAAATTTTCAAAGCTCCCAAGGCAAGCCAGTGTATCTAAAAAAGAGGCAAAATAACTTGAAATTTGTGAAGTTGTGTCAACAATTCTCATTTACATGTTTTCTGTAAGGTTTACCTTAATTAGTACCCCAAATTAAACTGTAATCTATTTGGATTTCTTAATTTCACATTTTCTTCACAAGGAGTGAAGATTATTTTAATATTTTCCTATTCTGATTTTTTTATTTGCCATTAAAGTGTCATAGCTAGCAAATTTTTATCTTCTTGAAGGCAAATATTATATTCACAACCTCATTTTTACTATCATTTTTCCTTGGCTATAGATATTACTCAGTGCTTTGTCTTAGGCCCATGTATTCAATAATTTTTAAATTTATTACCCACTTTATTTGAGAAAGGATTTTAGGTGGCTTATGTAGATCTATAATAATTTTTTATTTTCTTCTATTAAAATACACTATATACATATATACACTATATTATATATATATACATACATATATATATACATACATATATATATACATATATATATAGTTTTTGCATGTACCTGTCCAATTTTCCCAGCACCATTTATTGAAGAGACTGTCTTTACTCCATTGTATGATCTTGTCTCCTATGTTAAATATTAATTGAATGTAATGGCTTGGATTGATTTCTGGGTTCTCTGTTCTGTTTCATTGATCTATATGCCTATTCTGTGTCAGTATCAGGCTGTTTTGAGTACAGTGGCTTTGTAGAATAACTTGATATCTGGTATTGTGATTCCTCCAACTTTGTTCTTCTTTCTCAACATTGCCATTGCTATTTGGGGCCTTTTTTGGTTCCATATAAATTTTTTGAGTATTTGGTCTAGACCTGTGAAATACGTTGTTGGTATTTTAATAGGGATTGCATTGAACCCATAGAATGCTTTGGGTAGTATGGACATTTTAATGATGTTGATTCTACCAATCCATGAACACAATATATTCTTTCACTTGTTTATATCTTCCTCTATCTCTTTTTTCAATGTCCTGTAGTTTTCTGATTACAGGTCTTTTACCTCCTTGGTTAAGTTTATTCCTAATATCTTAATTTTTCTGTTGCAAATGGGATTTTTTTTTAGTTTTTCTTTCTGAGAGCTCATTATTGGTGTATAAAAATACCGTGGATGTTAATTTTGTTTCCTGCTGCATTGCCAAATTCACTTATTAAATCTAGTAGTTTTTTGGTGTAGCCTTTAAGGTTTTCTATGTACAATATCATGTTATCTGCGAATCATTTACATCATGGAATCCTATGCAGCTGTAAAGAAGGAGGATCTCTTACCATTTGAGACAGCATGGAGAGACCTGGAAAGTATGCTAAGTGAAATAAACTAGTCAAAGAAAGATAAGTATCACATGAGCTCACTCATATGTGGAATCTAATGAACAAAATAAATTGCTGAACAATATAGATCCAGAGATATAGAAGCATGGAACAAACTGATGAATCTCAGAGGGAAGGTGGGGGTTGAGGGGTGGGTGAGGAGATATTAACCGGTGAACTTATATGCATATATGCATAGTCCATGGACACAGACAATAGTGTGGTGAAGGCCTGGGAGGGGCAGTTGCAAGGTAGAAGGGGTCACTGGGAAAAAAAAGAAAAGGACATCTATAATACTTTCAACAATGAAGATAAATTTAAAAAAATAAAGGGGAAAAATATATAACACACATAGTAATGTACCCTTTTCGTAGCTGAATATAATGAACATACAACAGCAAGGAATTTCAAATGCTTTCCTTTTGCTTATAAAATCAAAGATCATATTACCAATTCAATTTAAATAAAAGCTTGTATCATGTCTATGTCATTATAGTTGCAAGCCAGATAGGATGGAGGAAGGCAGCTTAGCTGGAGATGGATGTGTTACTGCCTTCATTTCAAGTTCTCTCTTGGCCTGCCTTCAACACTTGCACTTGTCATTACTACTCTCTCATGCAGCAAGTCCTTCTGTTCGATGGTTTTATTTCTGACAGCTTACTAACTCCAGGAATCAATGCCAGAGAGGAAGAAAGGAGCCTGGGAAAGCTGAGTGGAAGAGGCATAGAAAGAACAGGATTCTTGGACAAGCCACACACAGCCAACAATGAGATGCATCACTGAGCACTTGAGTTTTTTGAGTCTCAGTTACCTGATCCTCAAAATGAGAGAGTTGGACTAAGTTATTTTGAGGAGACAGTTCTCCAAAACATGGGTCTCTTGTGTTTCTGCACATCTTGTGAACAGAAGCACTGACTCCCTTTGTTCAGACTATTTTTTCAAGGAAGTTTGTATAGCAAATAGCCTTGGAGGACACAGATGGTGTCTCCATCCCAAGAAAAGGGCCGATGTGTTTACTGCCCATTATGAGTCAGGCTCCTTAAGCCTGAGATTCCTCTCCCTTCGTTGATGGGTATCATCTGGCCCTCTGTGCATCTCAGACCAGGATTTCCCAGGTCAGGAGCTGAGACCTCCCTTGCTTTCCTGATGTCCCCTGGAAGAGGCCATTTTCCAAAGTGATGCAATCTTTTTGTTGTTGTTAATCCTCACCCAAGGATATTATTTCCATTGATTTTTAAAGAGTGGATGGGAGGAAGGGAGGTGGGGAGAGAGAGAGAAATACCGATGTTAGGCACATTGATCCTGACTGGGGCCGGGGATGGGACCTGCAACCCAGGTACATATGCCCTTGACAGGGAATCAAACCCATGTCTCTTCAGTGTGCGGCCAAAGCTCTAACCATTTAGCACCACTGGCCAGGGCAAAGTGATGCAATCTTTCAATGCCATTGGACCTAGACATAATTCAACTTAGGGAAAGTGGGGGTTGGGCTAGGGAATCAGTGAGGTAAATGCTATTCTTGCTACTGCCATTGCTCTAACAAAACCTCTTGTCTCTGACTCAGGTCTGTTGTGTATTCTGCCAGCATCCATGAAATTGTGTCAGGCTAACTTGATAGCTTGCAATAGAGCAAACATCAGACTCCTTACAGTTCTCAACAGTGGTTGGTGTCCAGATTTGGATGCATACTAAACTCATGTGGATCTTTGATTAAATACACAGATTCCTGGGTCCCATCACCAGCTATTCTAATTTAGTCAGCCTAAGTATGAGTGTGTGTTTTAAAAAATACTCCTCAGTTAATTCTGGTGACAAAGCCCATTTTTGTGAGATCCTCAGCAGTACTAAGACCCCTTCCAGCACTAATGTCTGTTATTACGTGACTATACATTTTGTCAGTCTCAGCTAGAACAGTAAACTCTAACATTTCCTGGACCAGCTCCCCACAGAATGGTCCACACATAGCCTTACATGACAGAAATTTCTCTGCCCTTCTGATACCTGAAGATTTCTCCAACCCTAAACAACAACATCTAAGACATTGAAAGGCAATATGAAGTAACTCTGCATAGTAGCTCTCATTCCAAGATAAACTAACAAGAACCAAAATTTAACTAATTCGAATAATTTTCTTTTGTCCACTTTTACTAAAAGTTGGACTTTAAAGGAAACTGTCCTCTTACCCCCCAAAAAGAGTGGCTACCAAGATTGAATGATGCAAAAACTAAGAAATCTGTCCCTGGGTAATTTACTTTTGATTGACTTTTATTTGGTGTAGCTAAAGGCATAGTAAAAGAATAAAACAAAATATAATTATGTATGGAATGTTTTTCTCTCTGATTTTGTAAATCTACCAATAAATTTACTCATCCAAAAAAAGCTAAAGATAAATTAAGATGACTAAAGGAAAGATGAATAAATTCATGGCAAACCAGTAACTGAAAGAGAGAGGTAAAATTATAAAAATGCATGTGTTTCCTCATGGCAGAGTTCCTGCCTCTGTGGTAGCAACGTCAGGTTGCACAGTGCTCATTTGTTTATCATATGTACAGAAGTATCCTGCTAGCAACTCCAGTGCGTGGAGAAGGGCAACTCATTTGTTTATCATATGTACAGAAGTATCCTGCTAGCAACTCCAGTGCGTGCAATAAATGTTTAATGGATGAAACCTACTATGTTGATGGTTAAATGCTAGCAATAAATGTTTAATGGATGAAACCTACTATGTTGATGGTTAAATGCTAGACACTGGGCTTTTCTCAGTTTCCTTCCTTCCATCTCCTTGTATAGGTTAGGTGAAAATATAAGTTCCTTTTTAAATTTTATGTCCTTCTATCTATATTTTGTTTTGCTGGTTTCTGCATGCCAAATCATGGGATCTTCTGCCTCAATAGTGACTTTAAGAAATGGTAACTATGGCCCTAGCCGGTTTGGCTCAGTGGATAGAGCATCAGCCTGTGGACTGAGGTTTGATTCTGGCCAGGGCATGTGCCTGGGTTGAGGGTTCGATCCCCAGTAGGGGGCGCGCAGGAGGCAGCTGATCAATGATTCTCTCTCATCATTGATGTTTCTATCTCTCTATCCTTCTCCCTTCCTCTCTAAAATCAATAAAAAAATATTTTAAAAAAAGAAATGGTAACTATGACAAGAAGTGGAGGTTCTTCAAATGAATAAATACTGATAGTCACTTTTATGGGTCCTGTCTCTGTCATACCTTTTAAACAAATGCCTAAGCCCTATTCTATATGTTAGTTATGATGCAGTGGTGGGTTTCTAATAATTGACACTCAGGGGAACAGGATTTCACACACCCCAAATATGTCTTTTTGGTATGAGGATTATTTGATGCTGACTATTTTTAAGCAACAAACATCTCAGGAACAGCTTTCCACCTCCCCCTTAACTGCCTAAAAGAATTTAGATAGAGGCCTATTTCAGGAATGGAGCTATACAATCAGAGATAACTACAAAGAATATGAGCTAGGTGTGGTAGACAGCAGGGAATTTAGCAAGGCCTGCTTAGTCAAATTCTCCATGTTCCTTTGTCTCTTCAAACAAACATTTGCTCGGCAAACATTTACTTTTCCTGTCTTCCTGTGAAATTTTTCCTGCCCTTTGAAGTCCCAGACCCTTAACACCTTCCCCTTAGTTCTGGATGATATTTAAGCCTCAATTGCCTATCTGTCTTTGAACCTCATATTATCGTGAAGCTCCCATATGCCAATTTAATCCTTAGACAAAGCCCAAAGAACCAAGAGGGGTAGAAAGAAATGTTTCCTCCCCAACAAGTTTAATTGATTTCATATATACAGGCATAAGCAAAAGTAGATTCACAGTTGTGAGGATGCAAAACATAGAGTTTATTCTTGTAGTATTGCTATTTATTATTGTATTATTTATTATTATTAACCTACTTTTGCCTACCCCTGCATTCTTTTTTTTTTAATGTGTTTTTATTGATATTAGAGAGAGAGAAAGGGAGAGGGAGAGAGAGATAGAAACATCAATGAGAGAGAAACATTAATGGGCTGCTTCCTACATGGCCCCTACTGGGGATCAAGCCCACAACCCAGGCATGTGCTCTGACCAGGAATCAAACCAGCAACCTCTTGTTGCATTGGATGACACTCAATCCACTGAGCTACACCGGCGAGGCCATACCCCTATATTCTACCTTGTCTTTTCTAGTTTTCCTGAACTCTTTCCTAGATATCAGAGATTGAAACCTCTAGCCTGCAGGATCCCCTAATTCTAAGCTGAATTTTATCAGCATTACCACTAAAATCAGACCCATTTCTGGGAGCCAAAAGTACAGCTTGGAGAGGGAGGAGAAATGGGCTGTAGTCTTGAAGTATGGTACCGATTTGCTTTGTTTAACAATGGACAGGTTACTTTGATTTTCTAAATTGTATAAGTCATCCCATTCGATTGAATGACTTATTGATTGAATGACTATCCCATTGATTGTGATCTTACTGGTTATCGAAGCACATTCTTCTGTACCTGGGAAACAGGACAGCACAATTACCCTAAATTGTTTTAGTGGCCACAGGTGGTGCATTCCAGTTGACTCAGTGGTCCTAAGACCAGGACAGTGCAATTACTCTAAATTGCCTCGATGGCTCTAGATAATGTGTTTCTATCAACTCAGTGATCCGGGAGACCCAGAACTATAATTTAGATAACATGCCTAAGTTTAACCCAGGTTACCCAAAGGCTCTAGATAATGTATTTCTGTCAATTCAGTGACCCCGGGACCTGAAACTATAATTAACATGCTTAATTCTGCTTCTGTAATCTGCTTTTTTGCGAGCCAGGTGCCTCATTCCAAACCCTGGGATGTAATCAATACCTTTGTGATTTTTGCCTATATAAGTCTGGTTTTGCCACCATCTTATTACTATGAGATTTGGGAATGTCCCCTCATAGTCCCGGATTGCAATAAATGTGACTCTTTAATTCGACTTCTTAAGGCGTCCTTCTGTGATTCGCGGGGTACATTACAACAGTCTCAGCTGTGACCCAGCTAACTAGAGTTTCAAAACAGACTTTCTCTTCTAAGTTTTCAGAGTCAAAACTCTAAGAAACCACAAGGTGGAGATAACTTCTTCTTTATGTAATTAAACCTTTTGCAACAAAAGATATAACATTTCCCAATTTTACAGAAGATAAGGTTAGAGCTTCCACATCAAAATGAGAAAAAGGAAGAATTTCACCAGTGCTTGGGCAGAATTTAGTGAACTATAAAAATACTTTAAAATTTACTTGGGATTAGAACAACCCAAATATGTAAAATACTTTAAAATTTACTGGGATTAGAAACTCCATAATTTAAAATTTATTAACCTGTAGTCTACTGTTTTCCTCTTAAAAATGTTTGATTTTTTTAAATCTAAAAGGCTCTAAGATAATTATCATACAAGCAAGCAGTATTAATAGAAGCATAAGATCTTTTTCCTTTTGGAGTTTTAGCAAAACCACATTGGCTTCCTGTTATTTTCTTCCTCGTTCTTCTTTATGTCTCCCTTAACTAGAGAGAGAATATAAAGTGGCACTTTTTAAAATTATACTGGTTAACATTTAATTGAGTTTAATTGTTCCATTCTAATTTGCAATGCTAATGAGTAGACTATTACATGGAGCATTGTTATGTCTCTAAAACTAATCTCTATATTTGATTTGTTTCCCTTTAGTTAAATGACTCCCTTTGGAGTTTTCCCTGCAGTAAAAGCACTCCATGGGAATGTGACTCCAGGGAATCTAATTGTTCTCTGCAACTATGCTGGGCCATCTACCAGTTTCAACAACAACAGCAAAATCCCATTTCCTTTTTCTTCGTCCCAACTCTTGCTTTTATTGTCAAATGTTTACCCAGAAACTAGGGGAAAAAACATAAAAATGTAAAAATTGACTATGATTGGTGCTGTTGTTTGAAATTTCAACATCGTATTTGGATCTTTCTCCCTGGAAGCTCTAGTAAACTCCCTACCTCATGCTTCTTGTAGTTATTAATGGCAGCACCTGAACGGAAATGAAATACCTGTTTCTAGAACCAGAAGGGGGCTTGAGTCCTTACCAGCAAAATGCAGTAAGGAATCATGCTTGCTAAATGTTTTCTCTCACTGTGGTTCATCCTGCTGCTCCAGAGAAACAGCGTTCATCTATGAAACATACTTACAACAACTCTATTAGGTAGTGGAATCTCTACTTATTCATGATTAGTACACTAAAAGCAAACAGAAACTTAAGAGTCCTTCTTAGTCATAAGGTCATAAATAGTATTGTACTTTCTTCCAATTCTGTCACTGTGAGCCAATGTACAATTACTTCCAAAATGAATTTTTAAAGATAATTTGAAATTACATCATGCATAATAATTGTGCTTGTAATTAAAATATTCTCTGACTTATTTGCTTTGATAAATAGTGGTTTAGGCTTTATTTTATTGTAGCAATTCCATTTTTTATACTAGTTTTAAAATCTTCTGATGTCCTACTAGGTGCAGGCACTGAGCAAGGTGCCCAAGTTGATACAAATACAAATAATATATAGTCACTAACTTTAAGAAGCTTATAGTTTAGCAAGGGGATAAGACAAAATGATCTCAAATCAAGTTTAATAAGAAGAGTTCCATGAAAAGAGTCATGTGAAGAGTAATGGGGGATCAAAAGTGAGAGTGTCAGGGCTGAAGAATGAAGTACAATGATTAAAGTGCAATGATTTCGGGAGGAGGATGGTCACCTTATGTGAAAGTTAGTGCCCACAACAGCTCTGGATACATGCATCCCAATGAAGAAAGTTTTATATTGCTACTAGAGGCCCGGTGCACAAAATTTGTATACGGGTAGGGTCCCTAGGCCTGGCCGGTGATCAGGGCCGATCAGGTTCCCCACTTCCCAGCCTTCCCGCCTCCTCCTTCCCTCACTGCCTCAGCACCCCACCACTGCCACTGGTCACCCACCATGTTCCTCACCACCCCCTGGTGGTCAGCGCACATCATAGCAAGCGATCAAACTCCTGGTCTCCGGGTCGAACTCCCGAGGGGACAATTTGCATATTAGCCTTTTATTATATAGGATATGGGTTGAGCCCTCTCCTATCTCTTTCATCTTTGTGTTGTTTGGAATTGTGTTAAAATTAATAGTATTGATTAGTTACCACAGATGGTAACTAGACTTATTGTGGGGGTCATTTTGTAAGGTATGTTGTATGTCAATTAAAAAAATTTGTGATAACTTGAATAAGGTTAGCCTTATCAAATATGTTTGTTGATCAAACACTTTTGCCAAGGTTATTACAATTTAAGAAAGAGACTTAAAATTTTGGAAGGAAAAAGTTTTCAGATATTCTTAAAAACTTTAAAAGGATGCCTACATAATCAAGTAATCTGCTAAGTACATGTAATTTGCCTGTGTTTACTAGAATGGTACATTTAAGAACTATTAACCATTAATAGTCCAGTTTTAGTTACCACACATTCTTAAAAGTAATTAATTAATATATGTTTCTTTAAAAACATTGCGTAAAATTTAGAGTTTCCATCAGGTCTTAATATGTTCTCCCCTTTAGTCCGGCAGTGAAATATTACTAGATATAGGCCTTGAAAGCTCATATTCTAGGCCTGCATACAATAGTCCCCAGGAGAGGCTTCTTCTATTCCCCCATGAATGATTGGTGCCTGACCTTTCTGTCTTCTTCATAAGTAGATTTATGATCAACACCAGTTAATGAAGGTTCATGTACCAGGTAAGAAAGCTGAGTCTTGGAGCGTTGCCGGATGGAAGCTCTGTAAATAAAAAGATGAAACCATTTGTAGATTGTGGGCAGGTTGGAACAGAAGTCAACTGGTATCCAAGTTTACAAGACATGTGTCAAATAAACAGAAATGTTTTCCAGGTCACCTGGTAACCAGATAAGGGATCTTTCTGATTAGACTAGACAGAGTTATTCTTAGGGCAGAATTAATCAGTGGGGTTGCTCTGGGCCCTAAGCTAGACCTTGACCCAGAAGGGAGAAAAAGAAGGGGGGCAAAGTTGTCCTACTAGTTTACCAGAAAAAGGTGTATGACTCAAATCCATTCTGAACCCACATGGCTCTGCTAATTGCTATCATAGCAATAGGTCATTGCCTTTACTTCCCTTCTGGCTGTATTTTTATCTACCCATCCCTGCCTCCCCCCCATCACCTTATACTTGTATACTTCAAAGTTTTGCCACCTCTATACAAATGAGCTAGTCTGAAAGTAAATAGAACCCCTAGTGACATATTCTCCAGGCTATATACCACCCCTAGCGATGCATTTAATTTTATTGAAATATAATTTAATTTGGTGTGTTCATTCATTGATTCAACAGAAGTTTATTGGGCACCTACAGCATGCAATATTCTAGGTGCTGTGGGGGATACAAAGACTGGTCAATGACAGACTTGTCCCTTAAGGAACTTAAATCATATAGAGGAGCAACACATGTACACCCAATCCTGATGTAAGGAAAAATGTGCTAAGTGCTATAAGGCAGGTTTGAATAAAGAGTATGAAAATATAAAGGAAAAAGACATGTATGGTAGATGTTACCATAGAAGGCTTCTCGGAAGAGGTAACTAAGGTAGGGTTTGGGTTTTGTAGACTAGAAGGAAAAGCATTTCTAATTGAGAGAACAGTGTAAACGGAAGCATGAAGAGAGGAGAGAACAGGAACACTCATTAGATATACTTAGTACAGGGCAGATATAGGAAGTGATTGGTTCAGGTTGTTTTGTTTCATTTTCCTGCGATTTCTGGGAAAGAGATTCTACTCTCCTCTAGATTAAGCTTGAGAATATGTAGCTTTGGGAGCTGATGGCAATTATGTTGAAACTCTTAAGGAAAGAAGTTTCCCTTAAAATAAAGCCAATAGTGAAAAAAAAAAGTAGAGCTGAGGAGAGAGACTTGGACAAATCATTGACACCCCAGCCTGGCCTGAAGCCAAAGCATTCTACTATTCCTTAAGTCAAAGTCAACTGCTTCTCTCCCTTTAAAGGTTAAACCAGGTCAAGTTAGGTTTTCATTCATTTGCAAACAGTGTCTTCAGTGACAAAGGCAATGCTGACGACTTGGGAGGAGGGAAGTTTCCTGATTGAAGCACTTAATTGGAAGCCATATGGTGTAAGAGAGCAACGTAAGAGATGAAGAGACCTATGTCAACTGCTTAGTGCAATCCAGATGGAACCATTCACAAGCCTCTACCCTTTGTATCCAGGTGCAGTTGGACTAAAACCAATATCAGGGTGGTGCCTGCTATTACACATGCTCCTTTAGCCTTCCTGAGAAGGCAGTAACACATCGACTTAATTAATCTAATTTGTTACCACGTTCTGTTAATGGTACTGCCATCCTCTTAGTCACCCAGTTTCAACAAGGTGCATTTATCTCAATTCCTCCCTGTTCCTTGCTCTTACATATTCAAACTCTTGCCAAACTTCATTATGAACAGGCATGAAGTCACTCCTTATCTCCTACTGCCTGCTACCACACTGGCTTCTTCTGGGGCACCCCTTTCCCCTCCCAATCTGACCTGAAGCTCTACAGCAACGGAGTCATTTGAGTTTGGTAACTAAGGAGGAACTGTCTTGTCCAGATGGTGTAAGGAATAGACATGTGTCACCTGGAGAGAGCAGAGTGCATGACAGGGCTGAGACTTAAGCTCATGGGGCTGAAATAAAACTCAGAGCATTAGAAGCCATAGTAGGAGTATATGAAGAGAGGAAAGTGTCAAAATATACTTGACTACCTTCCATCCTTGTCCCCTCGGATTTCTACTACTTTAATATTACATTTCATAAGTCTCTCTCTCTCTCTCTCTCTCTCTCTCTCTCTCTCTCTCTCTCTCTTTCTCTCTCTCCCTCCCTCCCTCCCTTCCTATCCCTCACACCATTCCACCTGTCTAGGATTGGCTGTCCCAGTGAGACAGCTCGGCAGGCACCCTATCTGCCAGGCAGTTCCCCCTCTGATCTACCATAAACACCAGAGTTATAATTCTACCTAAGCCCTTCCAGAAACCTACAAATCTGCCACTCCCTTTCTCAGAAGCTGCTTTACTACTTCTCAGCACAAACAAAAGCAGCTAAATTGGGAAATAAGTTAGCTGAATAAATAATACTTGCTCTCAACATTATTATTTAGAAAATTAATTTCTACACCCATTAAATTGTTCTTGAACCTAAAATCTATGACTAAAGAGAGACTTAGCCTTCAGAAAGACCTTAGACAAGGAAATAAGATACAAATTAACATTCCACTTAGTCATCTTTTAGCAAAAAAAAATTTAAAAATCTGTCAGCCTACACAATGAGATATTTTTAACCATCTTCTCATTTAAAGTTATAAATCTTTCTCTGCAGGAAGTTAATAGCTTCTTTCTGTGTATAGATTGTATTTCTGGATTTCTCATCCTAGTCACCAAAATCTAGACTTTGTGAGAACAAATGGTCAAATAGGAAATGTTTGTATTAAAATGGTTATCTGGTCCTGATAACAGATTGTAAGTAAACTACTTAGAACAGCTGGAATTTGGTTCATCAAGCTATCAATTTATTCTTTTCTAAATTCAATAAAACTAGCATTTCATGAAATTTTTATGAATGATCTGTTCTCCAAAGGAAAAATAAAAACTCTAAGCATAAACTTAGTGAACTACCCTTTGAATATTAAAAATAAATAAATTTATGTTTGTACTACTGGAAGTTGTTACCTGAATGTTTTGTTTTAAACTCTTTAGCCATTTTTCAATAAATGATTAGCTAGTTATCTTGAATGAGCAAGTCCTGAATTAAATGATCTAGAAATGTAAGAAAATGTTAGAGAAATATGCTGTCAGTTCATTGCCTACTGTAGTATCCTAACTTGAGAAAAAAAATCTTTTTAATATTAAAGGAATTATTTTATTAAAACACTTAAACCAGGACGAAAGCCTAAATTTACAGTCTTACTAACAGCGTACAACAACAAAAATATGTTTTGAGAGTGAATACTGATATATTTATCCATAGAAAAATAAAAATCTAAAATATAAACTAAATAAATATATAGCCGATGTTTGGGGAAATTATCTTTAAACATTAAAAAATGCATTTCTTATTTCATCTAACTAAAACATGATTTGACTTCAGAAGGTTACTCTGGAAGAAATATTTGAATTCAGTTGCAACTCAGAAGGTTAAAGAGTATAGCTAAAGAAATGAATCTGACCTCCATGTAAGATGGTAATTCATACCACAGTTAGCTTTGGTGGGAAGGACTCAATACAGATATTTTCTAAAACAACCATGTTTCTAAGTTCAATAAACAACATTTTAACTATGGAGCATCTCTATCATGACCCTAACCCTAATAAAATGAGAAGCTAAAGTTAAACAAAAACTCCCCATTAATTAGAAACAGGACTGTCAATATAGCAACCAAGAATTCATTTGCATGTTCCTATTACACAAGACTTGGGCCTGTGCTTAGGGCTTTCCTGGTAGTACCCAAAATATTACCTAAGAATCCTAAGAATATTTGAAAACCTTAAAATCTGCCCCATGGCTCAAACTTACCTTAAACTAGCCCGGTAGCTCCCTCTGCGAAAGGTCTGTTTGCTCTCAAGTAAAGCACCTTCAGTGTCATCTTTTCCTATTTCAACACAGCATGAGGGATTCCTTAGTGTATGCAATAAACAGAACCATATCAAAATAAAATTACTTACTATGCTTGCCTCGCACATAATTACCATGCCTGATGCTAAAACAGACATTAACTATTAACTTTATTGCAATAAGTAAAATAGCCCTTGTCCAGCACATTCTAACAAAAAATTTCAAAATAATCGGCAAGATTGAATCTTTCAAACTACATATGTATAATAACCTATGTGTTATCGCCACAGAAACAGATATCTTATAGCATGAATCATAAAAACCTTAAAGGAAGACCACTAGAAGTAGGAAAAAAATGATAGACTCACCAAATTTAAAAAAAATCATTTCAGAATAAATCACACATGTTATATGTATAAAGTTACATAATTATATAATTGTATAGTCTGTAACTATATAATTATATAATTGTATAGTCTGTAACTATACAATTATACCCAGTGGAGTTCAAAAATTGATATGTGACATGGTAGAGAAAGTGTGGAGTGGTTGATTAATGTAGGTTGAGATAAACCACCAAAACTGAAAATTCAGATTGAAAAAGAGAAGGTGTGCTAGGGCCTGAAGTATCTATTTACATTAGTGAAAATAAGCACAAAACATTTTAGTCATTGATTCATTCACTCAACCAACAAGAATAGAGCTCCTACTGTGTGCAAGACACTGTAGAGAGTCTCTCTTATTTGCAAAGTGTGTGTGTGTGGGGGGGGGGGGAGTGGGGTAAGAGGGAGGGATGAAGTTGAATGTTCTTCAACAGAACACCTGGGCTCTATGACTTGATCAGATAACTGAACCTCCTGAGTGCCTGTCCTTTCCTGTATCATTTACATAATGCCTCCAAGGGCTTTTGGGAGAACAAATAAGACAGTGTATATTAAAATACATAGAAAAACATAAAGCATTATTACATTAACTATTTAATATAATATAGAAGCATAATGAACAAGGCACTTACCCTTTATGCCCTCCTCATTAAGGGCTTGATCTCCTTGACTTTGCAAAGTCACTAGAGTGAAGTAAACTCCTTTTCTTTCCAACAGTTCTTCATGTGTACCTCTTTCCACTGCTGCACCATGTTCAAAACCAATAATGACATCTGCAGCTCTAACCGTGGATAGGCGATGAGCGACTGAAATGATGGTATGTCCATGCTGAATCTGTAACAATGCATAGTGCACCGTTAACTGAGACTGTAAGACAGAACTGGCATCGACCTTTGGTTCATCTCGGAATTCACAAGTAAGTCAGAGCCTCAGTCCCTGGGAGAATCCTTAAATAGGCTGTGCAGACATTAGAAATAGCCAGCGCACTTTCTCACATTGTTGGTCCAGTTGTTGCTATTAATCAACAGCTATAAACAAAAAAGGAAAATTTAAAACTCATAGATTTTGCCCTAGTCAGTTTGGCTCAGTGGATAGAGTGCTGGCCTGCAGACCAAAGGTTCCCGGGTTTGATTCTGGTCAAGGGCACATACCTCAGTTGCAGGATCCTCCCTGGCCCGACCCTGGTCAGGACAAGTGCAGGAGGCAACCAATCGATGTGTTTCTCTCACATCGATATTTCTCTCTGTCTTTCCCTCTCTCTTCCACTATCTCTAAGAAATCAATGGCAGAATATCCTCGGGTGAGGATTAAAAAAGAAATAAAATAAAACTCAAACATTTTAAGTTAGACCTAACAAGATTTTAACTTTTACATGTGCAACTTCTGGAAGCAAATCATAACTGTCTTCTGTTTAATTGTGAGGAACATTGCAGTCAGCCAATATTTTCTAAACAGTCAGACTGGATACATCGACCCACGGACCCATGTAGCATCTCTCTCTCTCTCTCTCTCTCTCTCTCTCTCTCTCTCGCTCCCCCCCCCACACTCAATAAGCAGCCTTTCCTACAACAGCACAAACATTTCCATATGTAAAATGAACTCAGACTTTCCACAAACCTTACTCAATGCCTCTTGCACCATGGCTTCGCTCTCATTGTCCAGTGCCGAGGTGGCCATGTCCAAAAGCAGGATCTTGGGATTTCGAACCAGGGCTCTAGCAATGGCTACCCTTTGTTTCTGGCCGCCACTCATCTGGCCTCCTCCTTCTCCAACAAGGGTGTCAAATTGCTAGAAAGGAAGTGAGCCCAGTCATGAATAGGAAGAATTTGAAGACTCCTAACTAATCCATCATGAGGTCCTTTCTAGCTTCCTCCTCAAACATGAATTTTCAGAGGTCTAACTTTTACTGAAATACCCTTTCCTGAAACAGGTCTCATCAATATTTGTGTTTAAGATTTTAAAAAATTGATTTAATCTCTTATTCCCAGGTTCACTGGCTGTATAAATGTTTCTGCTTAGCTCAACTTCAAATAAAATGTTTCCACCAACTAAAAGTTGATTGAGATCCTGAAAATCCATTTTAGAGGATTAGAGCACTTATCAGATCTCATCTCTTTTCTCTAGCTAGACAACACAGAAAAACACAATGCTAAAGCTGTCTTTATATTGTGAAATACCAAGCCACCTTTATAACCATCACCATCGACAGCAAACAGTGGCCAAGTATCTTGCATGTCTTGCATGTCTAGCATTATATTGGAACCTCACAACAGGTCAGACTCTCATCTTGCATATTATTAGCCAATGTGAGTTGAGCACCTACCATGTATAAAGAAAGCACAGAGCTGAGCTTTACACTCATCCTATGAGGTAGGTGCTACTATTCCCCTCAATTGATAGATAAGGAAATGCTGGGGTGCAAGCGGGTAAGGTAACTTCTCCAAGTTTATAAAGCTTGCAAGTGGAGAAGCTGGGGCCTGTATGGAGGAAGTGTGATGCCAGAGTTTTATGCTCTTTAGTCACTAGGCTATATTACTAGTATACTCATGGCTGTAATCCTATTCATACAGGAAATTTAGAAGGTGGACTAGAAATTATTCTAGAGTACAGACTCTGGAGCCAGACCACCTGAGTGTGAACCTTGTCTCTCCTGCCTTAAACAAGTTATTTGACCTCTCAGAGGCCTAAATGAATTAATAGATTAAAGTGCTTAGAACAATGCCTGGTTTGTAGGAAGCACTATATATGTTTTAACGAATAACAACGCTTCTTTGACTTAGCTAACCATTAGCCTCAGGCAAAATTCATATAATAATATGGAATTGGTTTTGTTGTCATTGTTGCTGAAAATGAAGATAAATGAGGAATTTTGGAATGTGTTAGATACAGTGCTGCGGACATATTAGCCACCTAAGTATAAGAAAATTAAACCACAATGGGAGACATCAAAAGAGCAACGTGCAAGTTATTGCCACATAACAAATTTATCATCTGCTTTGACAAATGCTTAATAGATAGAATAAGGAAATTGTATCAATGTCAAAAGGAGCATTTAAAAGAACATTCCCCCCCTAGCCGGTTTGGCTCAGTGGATAGATCATCGGCCTGGGGACTGAAGAGTCCCGTGTTCGATTCCGGTCAAGGGCCTGTACCTTGGTTGCGGGCACATCCCCAGTGGGGGGTGTGCAGGAGGCAGCTGATTGATGCTTCTCTCTCATTGATGTTTCTAACTTTCTATCCCTCTCCCTTCCTCTCTGTAGAAAAATCAATAAAATATATTTAAAAAAAATAAAAATAAAAATAAAAGAACATTGCCCAGCTTGGTAGACTTTCAGTAGATTAACAACATGGCTTCAAACAAAGGGGAAAACTCATGGTACTTTTCCAGCATGACACAAAAACATGACATTAAGAATTTAATGATTTAGGATTCAAATGCAAAGAAATACATCTCATAGAACATTTTTCCCTTCTACAATTCATGAGTTTCCCTCTGAATGAGAGGCTAGGGGTACCTGTGGCAGCTCCATGATGAAGTTATAGGCATTGGCTTCCTTGGCAGCTCGGACTATATCTTCCATCGTCGCCCCCTCTCTGCCATAGCGAATATTCTCTGCAATGGTGGTGGAGAACAGAACAGGCTCTTGCTCCACAATTCCGATCTGAGCTCTAAGCCACTGAATGTTAAGAGAGCGAATGTCATGGCCATCCAAAGTCACCTAGAGAACATGAGCACAACATCACATCTCTCAGAATCCTTCAGGGTCTGAATCATAATACTATGTTGTACTTAACCCATGGGGAGAAAAAATAGAGACCAACAAGATGGTAATGGAAACAATTCCTCTTATAATATGGTTGTTTATATAAGAATGACAATATACTAGTATAATTGAAATCAAATATAGCTATAGGACAATTCATTGTAGAAACATAAATGATGTAAAAGTCTCTTTATTTAGCGTGATTGGGAAAGGATTTTACTTCCTCAGTAAGTAGTACAGTCACATGTGTCTCTCTCCCTTCCACTATCTCAAAAAAAAAAAAAATCAATGGAAAAATATCCTCAGGTGAGGATTAACAACAACAACAAAAAGAGTACAGTCAGTTATTCACCATACTTTGACTATTTTTACTATGTTTTTTTTAAATGTATTTTTATTGATTTCTGAGAGGAAGGGAGAGGGAGAGAGAGATAGAAACATCAATGATGAGAGAATCATTGGTTAGCTAACTCCTGCACGCCCCCCTCTGGAGACCAAGACCCCCAAACTTAGCATGTGCCCTGACTGGGACTTGAACTGTGACCTCCTGGCTCAACCACTGAGCCACTGTGGCCAGGCACTATGTTTTGACTTGTGACCTAAAATGGACTTCAAAAGATGCATTAAAAATAAGCAATGATTCCTATCTTGTATATTTTCTTTATAGTAAAGCTTACTTTCTGGCCAGATTCACCAAAATAGTACCTTGCTATTCAACAGCAATTGAAACTGTGAGTGGAATGAGAAAATTAAAATTACTATTAACAAAAATGTTACATAAAGAAACCATGATTTTAAAATATTTAGAGTATAGTTATGCTGGTATGAGGCCAAGAATATCCAATCAGAGAATGATGTCTTGTGACATAGGAAAATTCTGGTTTGTTTGCCATGTTAGTGTAACAGTACATGCACTATAGAGAATTCATTGCATTCAAGTATTTAATATGTACTCAAATGATTCTATCTTGATAAGAATGATTTAGAGAGTGAAAAGCCTTTGGCACTTAACAGACCTGGGTTCAAAACGGGGGCAACTCTCAATCTCTCTGACTCTTCTTCCTCATTTGTAAAATGATATTTACCTTTGATGATCATTGTGAAAATAAGTAATCATTTTTATAAAGTATTTTAATTATATGTGATAAATGGAAATTATTAATATTTATTTTCTTACTTTCAGTTTATGTTTATAATCAAATAAACACAAGAAAAAAACTAAGTAGTTTGTGAAATTATATATATTTTTTAAAACCTAACTTCTCAAAGCTGTAATAAATAATTGTTCTCTGTTAATTCCGGCCGTGGAAGCTTTCCTATACTTAGCATTTGAAGAGCTTCAGGAGAACAATAATAATTTTGCTATTATACAAAGAAATAAATAAAAACTTTAGTTCACCGAGGAGGCAGCCACTTGGAATGTATCTGTACAGCCAGTTCCATCACTCAGAGAATGGACTGGTTGTTCAGTGAACATGGTCATGCAGGGAATTAGTGCAGCCACAGCAGTCAAAGTCATTAAGTCAACCCCACATGTGTCAGGATGGTCTCAGTGTATTCTAAGCCTTTGGGCTTGATTAAGTTACCACCATTTGCACTTTCCCATCCCCTGGAGTGAAAAGTTTCTGGAAGACACACACCATGCCTGCACTGGGGTCGTAGAATCGCTGGATGAGCTGCAGGGCTGTGCTCTTCCCAGCTCCGCTGGATCCTACCACAGCCGTCATTTCCCCTGGTTTGATGACCATGCTGAGGTTATTTAAAATCTGCAGAGAAAAGGAAAGAACAATGTCAGCAGCTAGGCCGCAAGTTAGGATGCTTTGTGAGGACATTGTGTTTGTTTAATTGTATCCTGCATCCATGAATAAGCAGCAAATTAGTAAACAGTGCCTAGGATGAAGTTTTAGCATTCAGCACATTACTTATTATTTAGCTGAAAGCTGTGGCCAACAAATAAAATGATGTGTGGTAACACTTGAAGTTAAAGTAAATCAACCACGTCCACTTTTAGATGTTCCGGAATCTCATTTAAAACATCCTGACATACTAGGATACCTCAAGAAGACGGTTCCAATTAGTTAAGGGAAGAAAGCCATTAAGTTAGAAAAATAATACGAATTTAATAACCACATGTTAATAAGCCAGTTTCAAAGTTTAAGCTGTCATACACTTGTATTGTGTGTGAACATGTTATTTGAATGAATCACTGTATCTAACAGATGTTTGTGGTATATTTGCTAGATACAAAACTCTGTTCAAAGTAGAGATTGAATTCTGGTAAGCCTAGAAAGGGAAGAAAAAAAAGCTAACTCATAACCATGTGTTGGATATTTTCACTAATTCAGTGGTGATTTTTGTCCTTATTATGTAGAGGTGGTTTGGGGTGCTCTATGTGTCAAAATCTCACAAGTCTTTCATTCCACACTATAGGGTCAGGCTTACAAACTTTTACTTACTGGACTGTAATCTTCCCCTAGGGCAGGCAGGCATTGAGTATGCTCTTTTTTTTTTTTTTAAATATCACTATAGTCTCAATACATCATGGCACCCAGCAAGGCTAAATACACCCTTGTGATATGAGTGAAGAATATTTACAGGTCTAAGTAAGAAGATTTTATTAAAATAAACTCTAGGTATTGGAAATAGCAGATAAAACAAATGAAATGACTGTTTCAATTCAACTGGTATTTGTTGAACAGCTATTATGAGCTGGTTCTGAACAAATATTGTAAAGGAAGTATTGAGCCATCCCTTCAAAGATCATTATTGAATGAACACCACCTTGTGGTTTATATTTCACAAGTACTTTTATTTGTTGTGACAGTTAATGTTTACATATATGTGTAATATTTAACATTAATCAAAAATTTACTTCATAAACATAATCTTAATATATGTACTTATACTTTATATATATATATATAATGAAAGTGTATATGCGTGTGTGTGTGTTTATCTGCATTATAGGTATGCATTATCAAATTAAGTTTCATGGAATTTAGTTCTGTGGGGATAACAGAAATATTATTAAGAAAGGGTGGCTAGAGGTACTCTGTTAAAAAATGAGGAATAAGTCTCATTTCAAAGCCAATTCATTCAGGGGGAGTAGATCCTAATTTTCCTGTAGAGTAAATTGCCTTTAAATATACTTGTTCAGTAAATACAGGAAAACTAAATTTTCTTCACCATGGGTGACTTATGAGCATATCACAAGATTACCTTTGCACCAAGGACTGATATCTTGGCCCTGGTGAAATTACAGATAGCAAGTAAAAAACTGCAAAGAGAGCTGCTTTCCTTTGCTACTTCATATCCTTCCTACTCTGAGTGTTCTACCTTCCATACTCTCTAAGGAGGTGGTTTGACATAGTTGTACTTCTTAATTGGTCTGATTGCCTTGCATTTTATTGAACTCATGGTTACAATGACAGGGCCTGACACGCTCATTTCAACAGAGTCATAAAGGTGACTTAACCGGAAAGTGCTGCCAGACTGTGTTTCTACCAAAGGGATTTGCACAGTACTGTCATTATGAAGGAATGTGGTTTGGTGTCTGAGAAATAACACGACACCCAAGGACACTTCCAGAGAAACATGATTCTGTCCCATGTTTCTGGAAACTGAATCATGCTTCAGAAAAACAAGCAATTCATGGCTCTGGAAATGAATCATCAAGAATAAAATGCCGTTGTTCCTGAAGGAAAGATTGGTACTTACCTTCACTTCTGGTCTGGAAGGATAGTGGAAGGTCACATTGTGAAATTGAATTTCACCATTAATTCGATCCAACTTGTAACCATCTTCTGACATGCAGTCAATAACAGGTTTCTGGAAGAGAATGTAAAGGGATATAGCAACATGTATTAGATGCATTTACTGCCCATCTCGGTTTGAATTTACTCATAAAAGAGAATAACAACCAGGTAAAACATTGCAGAGATTTGTTAAAGATACGTTTCTTCACATTAAATAATTATTTTTAATAATAATTAGCATTTATGGAGATATTATATTATGATATATTAATGGTATTATGCTATGTTACTATATAATATATTAGCATATAATATGTTATATGTATTATGTTATATATTAATATACATATACATTTTATCTGATATTATATTTGTTAACATCCTATATAATAAAAGGCTATGTGGTCATGATGCCCTCACACTGTGATGCCCTCACACCGTAACAACTCATCACCAGCAGGCTGCGTGCACGGCGAGGTGTGCGCGAGTGGGCAGGGACTTGATGCTACATACACAGTGCGTAGGTGGGTCCCGTGGCTCTGCGTGGTAAAGTGGGGGGTACCATGAGCGCCAGCGGGGGGCTTGACACTGCGAGACACCCCCCACCCAAGTGCACCAATTTCGTGCACTGGGCCTCTAGTATAATAATATATAATATAAATAACTAATATATAATTAATTTTAATTTATATAACATATTATGCCAATTAATAAAAATTATATATATCACATTAGTTAATTTAATTATTATTTATTGACATGTTACTATGACATTATTTAACAACATACTAATATATAGTACTGATCTATATATTAAGATTACTATGTATAATTATATTATTAAGATACCATGGAAGACAATGTACTAGGTGTTTTAGTGTGCTTTTTTTCATTTATGTAAATGTCACTATAACTTAACAAGACATTTTTTTCACTTGAGGAAGTTGAGAAATCTCAGAGGTTAAGTATCTTGCCTAAGGCCACACAACTAGTCAACCACTCTGGGGTCTAAGATTTGAGTAACTGAATGTCCTCGGGGGGTGTCTTCAAACACTACCAACTTTCAGTTGATTTGCTGAATTTCACCTCTGCTGTTGTTAGTAGTGAGCTTAATCTAGAACTTAACCATTCCAGTTCATCAGACAAGGGTCATCTCCTGCTACCAGGACATCCCCAGGTCAGCTTCTTACTCTTCCACACTAGTGAGAGAAATTCATTACCATATCTCTATTTGGGGCTATAGTGTAACTTTCTTCTCAGATCGCCAATAAAGATAATAAAATAATTTTTAAATGCCTCAAGTTTTTGACACAGTTTCAGGGGCTTTTTAAACTCATCATCTTACTTGAGCAAATAACAACCCAAGAATGAGAATTTGGATCATTCAACAGGCCTATGTGGTTTTCAATAATCTCTTTATATCCCAATACATAAAACCCCAAAGTACAAAACAGATACAGTGATGAGAAATTTTCTCAGGAAGGTTATATGCCTCATAAGTAGCCATGATTTAGGGAACCCACGAAGCACCTCCTAGTTATGATTTAGGGAACCCACAAAGCACTTTGGATTTACTGGGCTTCTGACTCTTAGCCCAGGGCATTTTTTTCAGAGGGAAAGAACATGTTGCCATTTTCCCCTTCTGTTCTTGGATTTTGACTTTCTACCTTGACCTCCAATGATTTAATAGATTAACCAGAAAAATTGTAGCCACACTATCAGGGTCCTTTTCTAGCTGGTACAGACTTTCTGTCACATTTACAAGGTAATCCAATCGTATGAACTGGTCTTTAAAGTCTTACATGATCTGGTCCCTTCCCATCCCTCTAGCGTGCCTCTGTTCCTTGCTCACTCAGTTTCATCACACTGGCCTTGTTTTAGCTTCTTGCATTCACCAAGCTATTTTCCAAACTGAAGGCCTTTCTTCCATGAATACCCTCCCTGCTCTTACCTCCAATTCACCACCCCTAGTCTCCCTTTGTAGGGCCAACTCTCTTTCCTTTGGTTCTCAGCTGATATACTACTTCCTCAGAGATAATGCCATCATCGTCACTCAATTTAAACACTCCTTCCCACCTCCAATTGCTATCATTTGACCTATTTAAATTCCTTCAGTGTACTATTTAATATTATCTTCTCTTAATGTGCTTATTTCTTTTAAAAAATATTTTTTATTGATTTCAGAGAGGAAGGGAGAGGTAGAAAGATAGAAACATCAATTACTAGAGAGAATCATTGATCAGCTGCCTCCTGCACACCCTACACTGGGGATCAAGCCTGCAACCCCGGCATGTGCCCTGACTGGGAATTAAACAGTGTTCTCCTGGTTCATAGGTCGATGCTCAACCACCTGAGCTATGCCAGCCCCATAAATGTGCTTACTTCTTTATTGCCTGTTTCCCAGTTATGATATGAAAGCAGGGGCCTTATTGGTTCTGTTTCACTCTTGCACTCCCAATTCAGAACAGGGTCAGGCTCCTGACAGCACTTATTGAATATTGCTGAATTAAGGGCATTCTGATAGTTCTGGATAGTTTTTAACACTGAGGGTAAATTCCTTAGGAGTTCATTCCTCTCCCCACCCCCAACCTATGAATAGCCTTTACTTTTGGCCTTTACATACCTGGTCTATTGTCTCAAAAATGCTGGTGGCTGCTGCACGTCCAGTTGCAAAGGCTTCCAAACAAGAAGATGCATTGCCAAGATTTAAAGCTCCCACTATGACACTGAGGAAAATCTGAAGTGAGAAGAGATAAACATGGTGTTCATGTGTTTTTGGGCTATCCATGTGAATGCAGAGATTTCAATCAACACAAAGTGGGTTAGAATAGTGATATGATAATTTGGTTCATTATATAAATAGTCTTATAATAGTTTTTCTGGTTAAGGGGTCCCTGAAATAATAAAGACAATATAATTAGCTTGATTGTCCTAGAACTTGGTACACACAATATAGATCTGCTACTACTACTACTGCTATATTACTATTACTAGTATACTAGCTATTAGGATAACTACTACTACTACTACTACTACTGGTACTATACTACTACTAGCAATAATAACAATAATAGTAATAATAATAATAATAATCTATACTAATAAAAGGGTAATATGCTAATTAGACCAGACATCTTCTGGACATCCATCTGAATGTCCTTCTGGACAAAGCCACAGTGGTGGGGGCTGAGGCAAAGGCAGTTAGGGGAGACCAGGCTGTCAGGGGAGGGCAGTTAGGGGTGACCATGCCGGCAGGCAGAGGGAGTTAGGAGTGATCAGGCAGGCAGGCAGAGAGGTTAGGGGTGATCAGGCAGGCAGGTGAGCAGTTAGGAGCCAGTGGTCCCGGATTGTGAGAGGGATGTCCGATTGCCGGTTTAGGATCGGACCTAAACCGGCAATCGGACATCACTTGAGGGGTCCTAGATCGGAGACCATGCAGGCCAGGCTGAGAGATTCCCCATGCATGAATTTCGTGCACGAGGCCTCTAGTAATAATAATAATGTTATGTTTCTATGTGCTTTATCCTGTATTACTTCATTTAATCCTTAACAGAGGTGTATGGAGGTTACCTAACTTCACATATGTCACAATATATATTAAGTGGTAGAGCAGTATCTAACCCCATTCATGACTGACATTCTGTCTACCTCCCAGGTTCATCTGCTGGAGGTTGCATGCAGGTGGAGTGGCCAGGTTCTTGTGCAAAGCTGGGGAAGCTGTCGTTGATTCACCAACTCAACTATCTCATTAGGTTAGGTAAAGGTGACATGATCATGACCCAATAGCACTCTGTTTTTATCAGTTTATAAAGGAAGAGAAAATTCCTCACATTGGCCTCCAGGAGGAGCACAACACTCCTTCTCTCCACCCTTCCAACCAAAGATTGATTGCCCGCCACTTAACTCAAATGGAGGATATCTCAATGGTCGCCCTCTATAAGGGATTACAGCTATTTGTTGAGCTAAATATTGACTTTTGCATGAATGTAGTCTTTTTCAGGTAATCATTTTCAGATGATCCTGGTCTGTGGTGATTTCCATGAGCTGGATTCTGACCAAGGGCTTCTCAAAGGCTCCCAGCCATCTCCCTCCCTCTTCAGTCACCTCTCCATTCCACACATCAGGATTATGTGGGCCAGCCCCCTCTTGACTTCTCCCTGAATTCCCCACTCTATGTAGGGGGCAAACATTATGTCTTCATCTGTTCTTCTTATTCCTTTTCCTTAATTATGGTAGGTAGGTCCTCCCTTGGGCAGATTACTTAATCTTTCAAGCCCCAATTTCTTTATCTATAGCACAGAAATAATGAGAGTATATCCCTCATGCGATTGTTATGAGCATTAAATGAGATAATGCACATAAAAGTGATTAATCCAGTTCAGCCATATAAATAATAGTAATGATGATGAAGAAAGAAGCATGATTTCACAGTTAGGAAGTGGAAAGGTGAACCAACAGAACAGTAATTGTGGTGTAGTTTGGGTTAAGATCACCATATTCCAAAGTCTTCCTATCTGAGCAAAGGAACCCTTCCATGTGTACTAGCTCAGGGGTCAATAAACATTGTCTCCAAACAGCCAGATGGTAATAGTTTAGGCTTTTTAGGCCACATGGGCTCAGCAATTACTCAACTCTGCTATCTAATACAAAAATAGCCATAAACAATATTAAACAAATGGCTATGGCTGTGTTCCAATAGAATTTCATTTACAAAAACAGGCAGCAGGCTGACTGTTAGCTTGCAGGCCATAGTTTGCTAACCCCTGATCTAGATTCTAGACTGACTCACTAGGGTACTAAACTGAAGTTTGGGCTTAAATCCTCACTCAGCTAGGCTTTGCAAACATTATCTCAAATAAAGGTTTCTCTCGGGGTTCTTAGGAGAACAGTGAGTGAGACAGGACAGGGGCGTTCAACTACCTCACAATAGCTGGCACAAATCCCAATAGACCCTCATGGCTCACTCCAAATGTCACTCTAGCGGCGTTTAGCCCTATGGACTAATGTGGGGAAAGGGAGGGCTGGAAAGACACTTGGAAACAATCTACCTGTGGCTGTGCTGTGCTGGAGAAGGGGGATCTGTGACCACTTGGAAGACAGATCCAGATCAGCAACACAGTGGTTAACGGGTCAGGCCCCCAGAACCTGAGTTCAAATCCGACTTCATACCACTGGGCACATATTTCTCAACCTCATGGCTCTATTTCATTTTTAAGTGGTAGTATAATAACATCAATTACAGAATAAAATTATATTACCTATGATAATGTTATTAAATACCTTACTCAGTGCTTCACACCATGTATATAATTAATAATGTTATTCTCTATGACTGCTATTATTTTTTATTATTGAGTCCTGAAACTTAAGAGGGGCATGAAAGAGCAGTCTTCTTCACCATTCAGTTCCCTTCCTTTTTTTCCCCCTAATAGATCACAGAGTATGATTTTTGTCTGGGTACAAGTGATACTAATTACAATCATTTATGTGAACTCCTTATCATTTATGCCCAATTACTATGCAGCCAATAATGATTTTGTGCATCACAAAATGCATTAGATTAACCTAATTGTTAATTAGTTTAGTGGATTAAAAAAACTCAACTCATGCATACTCAGTCTTCATAGTTTGCTGCTCAAGCATGAGTAAAAGAGAAGAGAGGACAGAGAGAGAAGAGGGGTGGGAGAAGAGAGAGAGAGAGAGAGACAGACAGACAGAGACAGAGAGACAGAGAGAGAGAGAGAGAAACAATGCTTATTCTGCTAAAGGATGTCTCCCACTTTCCCAAAGAAAAATTTCTTAAGGTGTAAGAGGAGGCTTTCAGGAAGAGGTTAGAAGTAAAAGGCAGGTTTATAATTGATGACTAATATAGGGAATATAGTCAATAATATTTTCATGACTATGTATGGTACCAGGTGGGCAATGGAAATATCGGGGGAGCACTTTGTAAGGTTTATGACTGTCTGATCATTATGCTTGAAACTAATGCAAAATAATAATGAATGTATATTATAATTTAAAAATAAAATTGTTTAAAAACTTTACAAAATAAAAAAGTAATTGATGACTAAAATGTTAGAGCGATGTAGTATGCATGTCTGCATATAGTAGGTACTCAAGAAATATTAATTGGGAGAATGAATTATCTACAGAAGGTACAGAGTAATCCACAAACTGGAAACTCAAAGGTGAGAACTCTTAAATTAATTAAACAAGGAGGTCATTAGACTGAAGTGGCTTTATGCCTTAGTAGCTTACATAAGCAAACCAAAACCTAAGCCTGAAATTGCCTAAAGGTTAAGAAGTCAAAACCTATGAGCAACCAATCACAAAGAGCCAACTAGGTTTTTTCAAAGACGACAACTGCTTAAGCTATAACCAATCAAGTAATGTCTTTGCTTTGCTTCCACCTCTTCTCTATAAAAGTCTTTGCCCTCACTTCTATCAGTGAAGCCCTTCTAACAACTTCTATTTTGGCACCACTTAATTAGTATTATTTTTGCTCAAATAAACTCCTAAAAGTTTTAACATGCCTCCGTTTTTCTTTTAACAGAACCATAAAATTGGATTCTTGTAAAGAGAGCTCCACTCTTTTCAATTGGAATCATACATTATTTAATTTTCAATGTACCAAGTTATTTTTTTTCTGTTCTCTCCTTGCAGGCATAGAATGAAAGGAAAGATGTCTTTTCTCAATGCTTGTACTTCTGCAGAATGAGCAGATATAAGCAGGTGACCAATAAAATATGTTTGCATTACCTGTTCCACTGTGGATTTTATTGGCTTGGCATTTTAGTAGCTCATTATGTTTTCACAAATATGTTCATTAGCACGTATATTGTGCTACTATTAAGCTCAGTTATATAAGCTGTTAATTTTTAGCTGAGAAATCACTGACTTCCAATTTTCATGCCATATTATCTTTTGGACTCAGTCAGAAAAATCATTGTTTTGCAGCTATAAAACCTTTATTTAATTGAAGATCATTAAATCGGTAGTCTCATCAATTCAAATGCTCAGCATCCCTTTACCATAAAATTCATTCGTGTTGCTCGTTTCTGCAGATGGACTCCACCAAATCATTGACACTGTCCTCCCTCAGACAGTAAAGGAATAAACAAAATGCCTTAACTGTGGGCTTTTCTGAGAAGCCAACAGGAAATGTTACATATGGGTCATCAAGAACCAAGTACCTGGACAAGGGCTCCTGCTGTATATTCTCCGTCATCCAGGACGAGTTTGGAGCCGTACCAGAAGGCCAGTGCATAACACAGGAAGATGAGACACCACATGAATCCAGTAAAAAATCCCATAACTATCCCTTTTCTAATCCCCCAACGCTGGGCAAACACAAGATTTTTCTCATACCTGTGAAGAGAAAACATTTGGGTCTCTTTCAGCAGCAGCAGTAGTGGCTCAAGTTAGAATATTTAATACAGACCACAGTGCAGTGGCTTTCCTCAATGATGATAAAGGCATCCAAACACAGAACAGCTTCAGGGAAAGAAAACAAGAAGTTCTGTGTAGTTATTTAATGTTTGTTTCAACCTGGCAATGAAATGAGTTGAAAGAATGATGCCTAACAAAGCCTCATAGTTGATTACTTCAGGGATGAGTACAGAGGGGTAAGCTTTGCCCCCAAGAGAAAATAATTGTTCAGCACACATGTCTGGACATGACGGATCCAGTACTGTTGGTGCTTATATTATTTTATTAAGTCATGTGACAGGAATCCAGTACTGTTTGTGCTTATATTGTTTTATCAAGTCATGGGACAGGCTTTCTATCAGAAAAAGATGCAACTGTTTTCTTCCAGGTTTGAATATAGTGTTCGCACCAATTCATCTGCATGTACTCACTCACCTATCTGCCCTGTGACCAAGAATGCTATGTTGTAACATGATGGGCCAGATTCACAGCCATGGGACATGGATAACAATGTGGAAATTCAGTCCAAACACTAAGCTTCAGTAATTCTATCATTTAGCCATTAATAATGGGCATTGTCTTAAAGCTTAGTCATTCTGTAACTGCCTTCCTTTGTCTCAAAAAGTAAATTTGTGGAGAACTTTAACATTTCATAGGACAAAACTGAAGGCCTAGCCTGTTTGTTAATTTTTAAACATTCACATTGCTTGTTTTATTAACAATAGAAGAAGATATCTTTTATACTGAAGGAAATATGCTACTGCTACTGAAAATTTCTTATGAGAAATCAGAAAACTTCATTCCACAAACCAAAAGAAGCAAATGAAAAATAAAAGAGGAAAAGAGATAATTAGAGACTGTAAATCCCATTCTCTTTTTTATTTGGTGAATTTGCTAGCAATTGAGAATGTGTAGTTGAGTAGCTGAATAAAACACATTGAATAAAAAAGTGTTCAATAAAAATGTGTGAAATTGCACTTTAGATCATGGAGGCTTTTCCTTGATGGCAGCAAACTGTTATAGTCGGGTATGCAGTACAGTATGTGTGCACACACCCCACCAGAGTTAGAAATAAATATCTAACTTAAGATGGCTTTTTAAAAATTACTGACTCTAACATCTTCCAAAACACATAGCTAAGGGCTTGGGAGTCCTTGTAGTGCTCTGATCGCTCTCATTACTCTGCCAAGCTACCTCTGAACAAAAGCTCCTCCGGGTACCGTAGACCACGGTGAATATGCCGCTTTGTACAAAAAAATGGGGAAGCTTCAGGGTAGTATATGGATCAAGGAAATTCAGGAAAGTGGCAGACATTTCAGTTAACCAACCTTTCAACCTCTTTTTTCTCACCACCAAAAGCAGCCACTGTTCGAATGGATGAAATGACTTCATCAGCCACTGACCCTGCTTTCGCATAGGCCTTCAATTCACGGTCAGTAAACGTGGACACACTCTAAAATCCAAAAGAAGAAAATAATATCTGAAGACCAGGTAATTAAGTAAGTCAGTCTGTCACTCAGTGATTCATTTAGGTGAGTAAACAGGTGTCATGGTTTTACACAAGACTAGATTCTCGCCAAGGAAGGATTTGATCTAAATTTGATGTGTGCTAAGCCTGATGCACCAGTGTTTGGTTGTTGACATATCAAAAGGACTGCATCAAAAGTCAGCCTCAAAACCATCAACAAAACAACAAGAAAGCCCACTGCATGGAAGAGCATATTTGCCAATGATATTTTAGATAAGGGTTTAATCTCCAAAATTTACAGAGAACTCATACAACTTAATAAAAGGAAGATAAACAATCCAATCAAAAAATGGGCAAAAGACCTAAATAGACACTTTGAAAGAGGACATACAGAAGGCCAAGAGACATATGAAAACATGCTCAAAGTCACTAATCATCAAATCAAAACAACAATGAGGTACCATCTCACACCTGTCAGAATGGCTATCATCAACAAATCAACAAACGAGAAGTGCTAGCGAGGATGTGGAGAAATAATAACCCTCATGCACTGCTGGTGAGAGTGCAGACTGGTACAGTCACAGTGGAAAACAGTATGGAGTTTCCTCAAAAAGTTAAAAATGCAACTCCCATTTGACCCAGTAATCCCACTTCTAGGACTATATCCCAAGAAACCAGAAACACCAATCAGAAAGGATATATGCACCCCTATGTGGGATATAATGATCAAAATAAACTGATGAACAAAAATAGATCCAGAGACAAGAGGCAGGGAAGAGGGCGTTAGAGATCAACCAAAGGACTTGTATGCATGCATAATAGCATAATCAATGGACACGGGGCAGTGGGGGCTGCCCTCGGGTGTGGGAGGGTCTGGGGGGGGCGTCAATCGGGGAAAAAGAAGACATATGTAATACTTTAAACAATAAAAAATAAAAATTAAAAAATAAATGATACTGCTCAAATTAAAAAAAAAAAGTCAGCCTCAAAACCCCTCTCACAGTGTAAGTTCCAAATAGGGCATTCTGTGAGACCTCAGTGTTTCATCATTACAGTAAAGAAGTTTTCAAGTTAAAACACAGCCAGGTGGATAGGTAGGTGGCTGTGCGGGTGGATGGGTGGGTGGGAAGAGATTAACCAAAGAACTTGTATGCATAGGTGCATAACCCATGCACACAGACAATAGGGTGGTGAAGGGGTGGGGGTGGGCTAGAAGTGGTCAATGGGGGGGGGGGGAAGGGGACATAGGTAATAATTTCAACAACAAAGTTTAAAAAAATAAAATTAAATACAGCCATTATTAATTATTTGTTTAGAAGTGGTCAATGGGGGTGGGGGGGAAGAGGACATAGGTAATAATTTCAACAACAAAGTTTAAAAAAATAAAATTAAATACAGCCATTATTAATTATTTGTTTAAAAGTCACATTTCATTGCTACTGGCCAAAGACCATTGCACAATTCACAGACAAACATCAGAGGCAAAGGCCAGAGGTCAGTGCAGGCATCACGTTGTTAGAATATAGAATGACAGAGAGGTACCGAGCCTGCAAAGGTAATTGCACAGGAGAAAGCTTCAGATAAATACTACACTATTTATCTACCAACTACCTTTGCTTTTCACAAAAAGAAGTAAAAGGACATTTTACTTAATATTAAACAAGTTACTTTTTCTAAAATTGGACTTGGATGGAATCCTAGTTAGGATTAACTACCAACAAAATTCCTGGCACAGATGAAGAAACAAGGAGGGAGAAAAGCAAATATTGTGGAAAATTATCTCACTCAGCAAACCTCAAAAACATATAGTACCCACACTAAGAGGATTTCTCTTTCTAGTTTTTCCAAACGTTTAGCAGCAAAACTCTTATCAAACAAACTCTTAAATATAATTCTAGGATATAAAATAAGTAAAAGTAGTATTTTATTGCAATATGTTTATCTCAGAAATCCACATTTTATAAAACTTTTGTGAATTGAAAAGGCAACGATAAGAAAAGTGAGGTTACTTTCATCAACATTTAAATTTGGGTGTTATGGATGCCTGTAGTTTTTACCACAATCCGTTTCTAATTTATTTCACAAATATGTACTGGCACCATGGTAATGAGATAATTAAGTAGTTACAAGTGTTATCAATTTTTCTTGTAATGACATATTAATAATCTCACTTAAACTGATACGGAGCTTTAAAAAATGTAGATTGGGGAATATCTAACAATTGCTCATGTTTCTCATCCTAAGTACAAAAGTCAAAGGCAAACAAAGCCCATATCTTCCATCATGTCATATAGTGCCCCTCCACCTTTTCTTGCCTTGTTTTGAATTGAGCCGAGGGAAGATGCCTGAATCATTTTACACAAACAGGCACAGACTTGAAGTCAAGAAGAAACCAGCGCAGAGCCACCACGTTGCAAATCACTTGAAGTTGAAATGTGGGCACTGAGGCAAGGGAAGCAGTGCTCTCAGTCGGTATAAAGCCAAGGAAACCAGGCCACATTGTCGGTCTCCAGCATGTTAAAATGTGTCATGTGATCTGGTAGAGTATGAATATTAATTTATCATGGGTTTAAAGAAAGAGATTACATGTATTTGGCAGGAAAAGTTTTTCATCAAATGTGTGCAGAATCCCCACAGACCCTCCACAGAAACAGAGGCTCCTCTGGAGTGCAGCTGGAGAACATTTGGTAGAAAAGACTTATGCAAAGCTTGCATGATATGGTGGATTGGGAACAAATAAAAGCTAATATCTCTTTAGTAATTAATTCTGTGTCAGGTGCTGTGCTAAGTGCATAACGTGGATTATGCCTTGAGTCATCATGATGGCTTTGGGAGGTTTTATCCTTGTTTTTAAGATGAGAAGACTGAAGTTTTGATGAGTTAAACATACCTTTGTTAAGCCAGGTTGGGACCTAGTTAAGTGCAGTGAGCTCTTTGCTATTGTCCCTCTGTATTACCTGGCTCTATTGAATAATAGAACCAGTGGACTGTAGAGAATAGTTTTCCAGAAAAATATCATCTGGAGATTGGTACATGTTGCTCAATAACGTCAGCTTTTCACTTGAATTCTACTCTCATTTAGAGCAAATTATTAGTGTGCCTGGTCCCAGGACCTGCTATCTAATGTGGTTGCTCTAATAGTAAGCTATAAGAATTTCTCAATTCTTGGGAGTGTGTTTTAACTGGGATGACCCCAAATTCCTACTCCCACACTTTTTCTTGGCCTGTGCACCTGGGGAATGGAGACTGCTCTTGGGAAACTGCTTGGAATGGACCAAGTAATCTCTCTCTGAAACTGATCAGATGGAATGGAGAGAGAACACAGTTGTGATTGCAGAAATTTCTTTTAGGTGCTTGTTACTAATATGGGTATATTTGTTGGGCCTTTTTGAGGGAGCATCTGAGGTTGGAAGACCAGGGAAGCAATAGGCATTAGAGAGTGTGTGGAAATTTAGAGTCAGTCCCCCTTGAATTTGAATTCTATCCTGTCACTCACTATCTGTGCAGTCCCTTTACCCCTCTGAGTCTCCATTTCTTATATTTAAAATGGCACCAATACTTTATAAGATTGTTGTAAAGATTAGAGATCATATATATATAAAGCTCCTCATAGTGCCTGGCACAATAGTAAATGCTCAATAAGTGTAGTTGTTATTTTTATTAATATCGCAATATTTATGTTATTAAAATATCATTGATCCCTAATCTATGGAATGCTATTTGATACTGAGGAAAAATCAGTCAAAATAGTGATAAAGATGTTGACTAGCCATACTCAGGAGAAGGGACTCGAGCTTATATCTTTGGCCGTTCCTCAGAGCCCATATCTCCCCTTGGAAAGCAATGAGAAGACACCCTTACCAGACCAATGACGGCTGCTCCCATTCCAATGAGAGGGCTGACAGAAATGATGACCAAGGTCAGTTTCCAACCCTGGTAAAATCCCAGCAGGAACCCACAGATGCTCGTGGTCATGCGCTGAATGAAAATGGCCATTTGGTCAGCAATGGCATCATTGATTTTATTAATATCACTAGAAATAAGAGAGGCTTTGATCACTACAATGGAATTGGTCAATTCAAATGTCTTGCTGAGAAATCTCAGTCTTTCCCTTCTAAACACTCCTATCTCTGTACCCCATCGCCCTTGGGAAACATGGCTGACTCTCACATCTGGAAAAATTTGCTGCAGCTTGGGAGGTCATCAAGCCTTTCCTCTCACAGCCAAGAAAGTTGTCTTTAACCCAGTTTTCCCAACTGATGTCCATTAAACATTGGCAAAGGCTTTTGGAAACCATTTTATTTGTTTCTTTTTTATAGTTAATACTAGAGGCCCGGTGCATGAAATTCATGTACAGGGATGGGGGTGTCCCTCATCTCAGCCTGCACCCTCTCATAATCCGGGACTTCTGGCTCCTAACTGCTCACCTGCCTGCCTGCCTGATTGCCCCTAACCACTCATCTGTCTGCCTCATCACCCCTAACTCCTCACATGCCTGCCTCATCGTCCCTAACTGCCTCTGCCTTGGCCCCCACTGCTGTGGCTTTGTCCAGAAGGATGTCTGGCTGTCCAGTCTAATTAGCATATTATGCTTTTATTATTATAGATATCCTTGACCTGCCCTGAAGAGCCATTCTTCCTTCCTTTATTTCTGTTAAGTCCTTTTAGGTTCTGCTCACATACCAACTAATTCATAGAAAGTTATGTAATTCCTCAGAAAGAAGTAATATTTTCTTCCCTATATTCCCATGGCAATGTAACTAATCTGTATACTTGTGTGTATATGTGTATGTAATTATTGCATTCTGCTTATAGACAGTATAGAATAGTGGTTAAGAGGACAGACTCTAGAGCCAGACCCTGAATTTAAACACAAGCTGTTCTTGAGAAAGTTACCTAACCTTTCTGTGCCTCAGTTTCTTCATCTGTAAAATGGAGAGAATGACAGATCCTACCTCAAAGGGTATTAATGAGGATTAGCTAATATATGTAAAGCATGTAAAACAGTACCTAGGATATAGTAAGCAGTCAATATGTGTATGTTCTGATTATTTATGTGCTTCTACCTTTTATCATCCTACTAGGCTGTAAGTTCCTTGAGATGAGGAATTCTGTGGTTTATCTTTATGCTTTGCATAGAGTAAATGCTCCAGAATATTGGTTGAATATAGTTACATTAAATTCCCATTCCCATAATCTTTTGTCCAGTGGAACAAATAAGCGTTTAGGACTTGATAGCAAAAAAGTGACCTGAGACATTATGCAGAGATCGGACAATTGTATTCTAGCAAGGCTATGTATCTGTCCAAGGCCACAGTAAGAGGCAGACTGAGCGCTGGAATCTAAGGGTCCCAACATTCAGTCTACTTTATTTTCACTACACTGCACACTATCTTTAATGGGACTTCAAAGTTTCATTCCATTGAACTGGTTCTAATTCCTCAGGGTTCAACTGGTTCTAATTACTCAGGGCTCATTCAGAATCACTGAGGGGGTTATTAATGACCCAAACTAGCATTTAGATGTAAACTGGATTTACATACAGTTTGTTTTTTTAATAAGAAGTCAGCAATACTTTCTTTTTAAAATATATTTTATTGATTTTTTACAGAGAGGAAGGGAGAGGGATAGAGAGTTAGAAACATTGATGAACAAGAAACATCAATCAGCTGCCTCCTGCGCACCCCCTACTGGGGATGTGCCTGCAACCAAGGCACATGCCCTTGACCAGAATCGAACCTGGGACCCTTCAGTTCACAGGCCAACGCTCTATTCACTGAGCCAAACTGGTTAGGGCTATAGACAGTTTTTTAGCTTGAATCTTTCTCAAACTATTATGGATTTTTTATTTTTGTTTTTATGTGCATAAAAATTACCTCAACAGTCAAAGCAAGGGATTTTTTTTTAGTTATATTGTTAGATACCTTATAGATACCTAGATTGTGACATCCCTCAATTTCTCCTTTTGGGGCCAAATAACCTACTTCTAACTCTCTTCTGTAATGCCATTTCTAGTAGTTTAATCAAAGGCCTACAAACCAAATTATAGTATCCTGGCTTTCAATTTATAATGACCATATTTGATAAAACATTACCCATGAAAAAGCCATACCTATAAAAGCCCAACTTAAGAGACAAAACATATAAAAAATAACTGAGAATGACGAAATAAACTAACAAAGTGAAGACAGACTCATAGATACAGAGAACGGACTGACAGCTATCAGGGGATGGGGACTGGGTAAGATGGGGAAAAGGATTAATCAAAGAAAAAAAATAAAGACTCATGGACACAGACAACAGTATAGCGATTGCCAAAGGGAAGGAGGGTACTGGGGGGAGGTAGAAAAGGGTCAAGCGGGGATAAATGGTGATGGAAGGAGACTCATCTTGGGGTGGTAAACACACAATACAATATACAGATGATATATTGTAGAATTGTATACCTGAAACCTATATAATTTTATTATCCAATGCCACCACAATTAAAAAATAACTGAGAATGTTTCCAATTGTTATTTAATCTATACTAATAAAAGGGTAATATGCTAATTAGACCAGGAGACCTTCAGGACATCCTTCTGGACAAAGCCATGGTGGCGGGGCTGAGGCAGAGGTGGTTAGAGGTGATCAGGCCAGGAGGGGAGGGCAGTTGGGGGTGATCAGGCCGGAAGGGAGGGGGCAGTTGGG